AGACATTGTTTCACTTGTCAAACACAAGACGTTACACCCACGGTTTTATCTATAGCGTAATTTATTCTAATAATCCCACGCAAAACACTGCGAAATTCACGTTTTCGAGTAGGACGAATATTATTTTCCAAAATTATCTTATTCGACTCATAGGTTTTTAGTTTGATTTTTGGTCGCCGAATTATTTTTTTTTAAATTTTTTTTTAACTTTTTTATAACGCATGAAAAACAATTTATATGATAAACTTCCTAAATTATAATAGGTGATTTAGAATACGTATACTAAAACGATGGCATGAAAATCTATGCTTCGTAGGTAAATTGTTCCTAAAAAACGAATTAGTCAATAATATTTTTATATGATTATTAATTTTTAATTTTTTTATATTATGAAAATCTTTATATGAGAAAGCACGATGGCACTACGATAATGTCATTAAAAATTAAATAATAAATTATCAAAAAAGGATGGTATATTAAAATATATATTTATAGTTATACAGATTATATTTAACAAACTCGTACATTAAAATAATTAGTAATATTAATGAATTCAAAACGAAAAACGTACATCTCCAAGCGTGGATAAAATATTAATATAGGAAGACATAGGCACTTAGTGCAATTCAATGGCAGACTTTAGGGAACGTGATTATTACCCCCTCATTTTTTAGAAGTGATATTGATTAATAAAGATATTATTTATAAAAGAAATATTTTACAATCGTCTCGATTTTTGGAAATATTGGTAATTTTTGATACAACTAGAATACATTATTTAGAAGTATAAAAAAATATATATAGAAGAAGAGAGACTTTGAGAAAAGGGTTATCTCAATAAGCGACAAAAAACCACATACGTCCACAGTGGCGTACCCACGAATTTCCTATGGGGGGGGGAATGTTATCTGGTAATGGAGTGGAAACTAAATCTAGGCAAGGAAATAATAGTTCATTCTAGTAAATTTTAATAAGAACAATGAAATGGTTTTCTCGTTACACTCAAAACGCCACTTTTCTAACTTTTTTCTTATCATTATCCTAATAATTGTAACTTCAACTTAAAAGTTCATTTTGATTTGTTACAAATTACTATTTTATTAATTTAATATGACTATATTATACCACCAAAAGCTATAAGAATAGCTAGAGTAGCAAAAATATAACTACTTATTTATAGGTTAGGTACCTAATCAGACATTTTATTGATTAAATTGTTTTATTAATTTTTAATTAAAATGCATAACAATTGATAAAAACAAATGTTTAAGCATTAAATTATTCTAGACGGAAATTTAAACACCTAGCTTTTGCACTCAGTTAATTAGAACATCATCAGTCTTCAACTGTATATTTCAACGGATGTTCGTTAATTCATTCAACTAACTGTTTGATCAGTTTTATTTTTTTTTTTTGAAAAATATGACTCAATTTTTCCGTCATGTTTTAACATAATAAAAAACTTTAACTGAATAAGCAAATGTAAAGCACTCAAATATATAGTAGATAATAGATAAATAATAATTTCAGCAGTCCACAATTTATAGAATTAACTTATTAAATTAATATAATTAATACATAAATTAATTTATAACAAGTAACAAATCCCTCGTTGATGATATTTTATTACACATTGATAAACTGATGAACATTTAGACAGTAAGATTTTTGTAGTTAGTTAATAGAGTAACGATAATAATATAACTTCAATTAATTTATAATTTGTATAATCACAACATAATCGTACAATCATAATATATGTTTGAATGCTTATCTCGATTTTCATGAAACGACGATCATAGAATATATTAGACGTGCTTTATACTAAATATAATACTTAATAGAATAAAATAATAATATTACATTTTATGAAATTATGCATTGTAGGTATAGCAAAATAAATTAGTAAATCCCACAGGGAAAAAAACCAATGAGGGGGATATAACCCCTAATCTTCCCCTCTGGGCATGCCACTATACGTCTTTCTCAAAGTTAAGACTCTTGGTTGAACCCTAGATCTGCTACTAATTTAGTATTCTAAGATACGAGTATACGAGTATATTATGTCCGTATGTTTAGTATATACCATACAAATTTACACTCGTTGTAATGCTTACATAAGAAAGTTAAATCAGTATCATTTACAGACATACTAGTAGGTTGACATTTTTACAGCGGACTTTTATAATAATTAAATTAATATCGATAAAACGGTACCTGTATAAAAACCAGTTTTAAAATCGTTACTATGCTGCAGTCATTAGTGAATGTACAGTCAGTGCAGAACTATGGGGAGGGGCAAGTGGGTATGCTTGCCCCAGATCTGTAGAAATAAAGACGCTCTTCAATTAATGAAAAATTAAAAGAAGTTATGATTATACCCCGTACACCCATCTACGTAAGAACGTTTGATCTTTTATTAGCTCTAAGTGTCAAATTTCCTAGATTCAACACTGTACAGTACATGTACATGTACTGCAGTACAGTACATATTTATTTTGTTTTCCAAAACCAAACGGTAATTTTTCAAAGCAGTTTAAGTTGAAAATACATAAATTATTATAAGTAGGTATCAACAATACAAGTTTAAGACATGTATTAATAAATGATTTGATAGTTTCACAAAACTAGAATAATAACAAGCAAGATGCAATAGTAAAATATAAAAAGATAGTAGTAAAATAATTATAGTCAAAATATATTAAATGGCATTATTAGCATTACAAATCAAACGGTGAAAAGGAGAGTTGTGCCCGTAGAAATGGAGTGAGTAGGAATATGAAAATGTGTGTGATGCCTCAATGGGTAAGTCAGAACATGAGTATAAATAAAGGAAAGTAGGTCAGTAAATGAACTGTTAGTAGGAAAAAATTGATGATTATTTTATCCAATCATTGATTAATCTGGCATTAAAATTTCATCATCTGCTACATATTTTCATGTTAAAATTTACCAGTGCATGTGTTGTTCGAATCTTTATTAATCCGTTTCCAAACGGTTTTCTGAAATGTGTAGTATTTTCCAAAGTGAATTACAATAAACATTGACATTGTTAATTTTCTCGCTAAAATATTATTTAAGCTATACTCCATGTATCTATGGCTGAAAGTGATCATAGGCCTTATTAATATTAGTTTTTAAAAACTTGATCGCATATTACGTCTATGTTATAACGACCCTTAATCATAATTATTGTTATCACAATTATTGTGATCTTCATAACTATATAAAAATTAAGATTGGAACAATGAAAAACATCAATATTGCTCATAGATTTTCCAAAATAAATTAATTAAATTTTTTAACAATAGTTTGATAATATTCATTGGTAAAAATAGGTGGCTGGGGTGCTTAGACCCTCTTACCCTAAATTAATTCTAAGCTCCTCAAATTAAGTTTAAAGTCAGTTATAAAAAATATAATTACTTTTTTATCAATTTAACAATGCTGGGTGGGAGGGCTTGAACTTCTCTCCCAAAAAAAAATTGGTCTATTTACACTAATGACAATAGTACACTAACGAAGTAAATATAAGGATACATGCTTCTATTAGATTTGCTTCGTTAAATGTTTATGTATTGTTTATTTTTGAGAGAAAAATTTCAAAATCTAAATGAATAAAATTTTAATTAAAGTAAGATCTAAAAATATAAGCACATATTTATTGCTGAAAATTTCAAGGAATTTCTACATAAATACACAGTGAATGTTTTCAAATAAATAAAATATTACCGGCTACATTCATGGAAACAAAACTGAAAACAATAATGTAATCAATGCGTACAATGAAAAATTGTCCAGTGAAACGGTAGTTTTTTCTAGTATTTACCTTAAGCCACATACAAAATTGTTTTTAGAGCTACAGGAAACATTGGAAAAATAATGCGAAAATTCGGTGATTTTCTTGGCGATTGAAGCAGAACTCTCAGAACACATTAGTTTCGCCAACATTATTGAAATCATGCAAGAAGCGAACGATGCAGATTTACAAATTTAGCCATTTAGATTTGCTTACACCGTACAAATATACAATATGTACAATCTACTGAACATTTAATTTAATGATCAATATCAAGTGTTTTTTCTTTTAACAGAAATATTTATGATCTGCGTACGATATAATATTACGTTTGTTTTATATTTTACGAACGAGAAATTTAAGGCTAAAAATGCTATAAAAATGGTGGGTGTGATAATCATACTGAAACCACATTGTTTTTTACCAGACATAACGTGCAAAAAAATTATTGTTTTCCAGAATATTATTTTTGGTAGAAAATCGAAAACTACAAACGCAACTTTGGAACACGTTTATACTGTTATTTGTTTACAGAGGTGCGCGTCCGTGCAGCAAGTAAACAGTTGCTGTCGAGTCGAACGCGTACCGACGGATCGAACAGCGTAATAACACACGTTTGTTGGTGACGTGATATTATTACCCGGCAGCTACACGTAGACGTCGCGGCATTCGGGTGTTCCGCAATCGCACGCGTATCACGTGCCTGTGCAAGGTAAAACGGACTTTTGAAAAAGTACGTCGCGGTGGGCACTTCGTACCCGTATAGTGGAAGTATTAGTATTGACCGAGACACGCAGAATACGACGTGATGCTGTTATGGATCGATATCGAGTCGGAAACAACACACATCTAAATCATAAGACCCCGTCCGAACAAAAGAAACAATAATAAATATCAACAATAAATATCTACCCGAAGGCAGACGCGTGTTTCGATTGGTTTTTCGTTTTCCCCTCCACGGACAGTGCAAAAGGGAAACAAGTGGAAAACGAATAACAATAATGAAAATAATAAGAACAACGTTCGACGGCAATAAATAATCGTATGGAAAATCCATATGATAAACGTGGTGGCAGGGGTGCGCGCGCACTGCGGATGTTTTGAACGGATCGCGGTCGATCATATGTTTTTTATTATTGTTTTTGTTCCGCGCGCGTGTGATAATAGTCGCGTCGACCGCGGGGTGGGGGATATGCACTGTGCTATTCCTTTGTTCCGCGCGCACGGTCGTCGTCGACCGAGTGTCGAGGTGTATGCGCGCTACGCAATAATAGTGTCTCTCGCGGTCTTGTGCGTGTGATTTATTTTTTTTTTTTTTCGTATACAATTCCTTCCCTTCGGTCTCTCAACACGTTATTCACGTTGACTACGTTGAAAACACACACATACTTATATATATATATATTTATATATCTCATTAGTTATATTATATAAATTGTTGTCGATCGAAAACGACTCCAAGAGCGCATTAGTTTATAATTGGTAGAGTATATAAAGATAATATTTATGAGTTTGGTTTTCCGAAATCGCGTTTCGCCCGCGTCGTAGAATACCCATACCTTCCGAAGACGTACATCAAATAATATCATTTCGCAGTCACGGCACATCCTCGTGAATCCGAAACTACTATTTCACGTCGGTAACGGTTTTAAGCAGGATAACCCCAAGCGAGTTATTATCGTTTCGCCGGATCATTGCAATAATCTCAGCAGCACACTAAAAATAAATTAATATACGTAATATTCGTGTATTTAGTAGTTAGTGTCAGGTTGTGTGCTACAGAAAAAAAAAAGTAAACTCCACAAACTGTCTTACATGTGCTGCACACTATGTCGTGGTTCAATTTTTGCACGGAGAACCTCCAGAAAAGGTGCTGTCGGTACCTACTACAGCGGTATGTTGGACGTTTTCTTGAGCACAAAATTGAACCTGATCAACTGTCTATAAATGTGCTGGATGGCGCTGTATCTATTGAAGATATTATCCTTGATGTACAGGTTAGTTTTTCATAGTTCTTTAATTTTACCTTATATCATCTCTCCATCACCTTTGTTTATTCTCCAAACAATTGATTTCTCAATCCTTTGTTGTACTACAAATTTTTCTAATTGCACCATTGATATTTACACAATTATTTCATTTATTTCATTAAGTAATTAACTATATTTTATGCATTTTATTAATTTTGCACCTGGTAAATATAATATATTTCATTGTATTTTATTATCTATATTTGGAATAACTCTTATATATACAATATTCATTTTATTCTGCAATAATATTTTTATATTCCATTAGTAAAAGTATTTTTGTTGACAAATTTTCGATTATTTCATATTTTCTACAATTTGGGTTAGTCAAATAACAATAAAAATTATTTTCAATATTAAATTTTTAAATTTACAGGCACTGAATGATGTAGGAGATGAACACCAACTACCATTTGAATTTGTTGAAGGTAGTGTAGGCAAAATATCCCTATCGGTGCCATGGAGAAATATGCTCAAAGAATCTAGCATCATCCATGTTGATGGACTCAGTCTTACTGTCAGGCCCAATGTAAAAGAAACCGAAGGTAATCATAGTTTAATAAATATTTTGGATTATATAAATATTAATAATAAATAAATTATAGGAATTCCTAGTTCAATGTTAGAATCAGTTTGGTCATCCATGTCAAATAGTGTATATTCTTCACCAGACAGTGATTATGAAGAAAGTTTTGACAATGCGCCTGAGTCTGAACAAGTTTCTGGTCTTGAAGTATTCGCTCAAGCTATAGAATCTAGTAAATTTAAATTAATTTAATGGGTAAATAATAATTATAAATGTATGTAAAACGTTATGTTTAATTTCAGTATTGAATAGAATTAAAGTGAAATTTTCAAATACTGTGATAAAGTTAGAATATACACCTGATTTTATGAAATTAGGATTAGGATTACAATTACATATTATAAGGTAAGGAATTAAATAATTTATATATTATTAAATTATTAAACAGTTTATTTTTCTACAGTTTAGATTATATTGATGAAGTGGCAGATGAATCAAATGAAGGAATAATATATGATAGCTTAGCTTTCCTAACCAAGAAATTAGTAATTGAAGGAGTTTTTCTACAGACATATGAGTTTAAATGTTCAAAATTGAATGATGGACCTGTAAGTTATTTATGTTCCTATTATACGTTTTTTCTTTTTACATATGTATATATATTTAGGCTTAGATTACAGTTTATCTAAACCATTGAATGTCTTTGGTACGTAAGTTGTTCAATATTTTGAAACTTAATGATTTTTTGTTCAGCTTTTAAGAACAAACATCACAGAGCCAATAACAATTGCTGAACTAACTGGTACTCAAGCTATTGGAATGGTACTTAAACATAATCCTAGTCTTCCTGGTCCAAAATTGAGCCTAGAAATAAATTTTGGACCTCTAAATATTATTTGCTCTCCAAGACAAATGTATTTAGTCATAGAAATTTTGCGTGGCATATCTAAGCCATTAATAGAACAAAAACCAAATGCTCCTGTTCAAAAACCAATGAGCGAGTCTGATTTTAATCATATTGAACAAGATTTATACAATCATGTTGAACCTAGATCTAATACTGATGTAGGTTTGAGAGGAATGCAAGGATGGTCAAATTTGCAAGGTAATTTATATTATTTTAAACATATGTCAAAAATAAATTTATAAATTATAATTTTAGATGATGACGAAGAATTTTTCCCATTACAAGGTGCTAAAAACAAAACTTTTGTACCTAGTATGAATTCATCAATGACTTCCAGTATGAGTAGTATAACTAGCAGGTAAATAAATATATTTTAATAAATAGTATTCAAATATTAATATTTTTTTCTTTTATTAGTAAATCTGATTTGTCTTCCCGTCACAATAGGCATAAAAGTAGAGGTAATATATGTTGTTTACTGTTATAAGTTCTAATAGTCTATAGAATATATGCCTAAATATTTTTATTTCAGGTAAAAATGAATGGTTAGGGGAAACAAACCATTTTAGTGTTCATCTATCTTCATTATGTGTGGTTTTGCTTCATGAGGATATTCTTGCTATTTGTCCAGAAACTGATAGTATAACTCAGTGTTCTCTTAATGAAATGCGTAAAATATCTCATCAATACCTCATGGTTGTTCAAAATTCTAACATAATTAAAGATTGTGATAAAATCACTAAATCTATTGAAAGAAATCATTTGAAGCTTGTTGCAACCAATGTAACTATGGATGGTGATGAAAAAACTAATGAGACTGTAAAAAATGTTAATATAACTGCTTCGGGAGCTGATGTAGTATTAATGGAAGTTCTTGTTGAAACTGTAGAGGAACCTATCCAGTATATTCCAGTAATATTCTAAGACTATAAAAATATAACTAGTAGTAGTTTTGTTAATTAAATATTTGATACTTATAGATTTTAAAATTTGTTCAAAATTTAAAAAATTCTAAGATCACAAAAACATCTGACCAGCCAGATATTCAAATTCAATTCAAACATGAAACTAAGTCTACGAGATACTGTAATCCTGTTTCTTCACAAATAAAGTAAATTTTTGTTATAATTTATTTATGTTATAAATATATATATATTTATGTATATCATTATTTAACGATGTTTTATCAACAAATATGGTGTAAGATTTATTTTATTACTCATTATTAAATGATGCATTAATTTATACATTTTATAAAATACTATTTTTGAAAATTTATATGTATATTGAATAAATTAATTTAGTATTTGTTATGAAACATAAATGTCTTTTTTATAAGCAAAATGTACACCCTACAATTATAATTATTTTATAAATCTGATCGTAATTTTATTTTTAAAAGATTCAAGTAAACATTTTTTAAAATGTTCATTGTTAATTGTTTTATTTTATTATGTTATTGTATCATTCATTTTCTAATAAATATTTTTTTTGGTTTTTTTCAGAATCACTATGTTAGAAGCATTTTCTGAAGTAGATATTTCTATTATTAATCGTTTATCATCATATATTTACTATCCAGATTTTAAAATCCCTAAAAAAAGTCCATTAAATGTATGCTATTTGTATTATTTATATACCTACAAAACAATATATTTTAATGTTCTATTTATGTTATAGATTTCTCAACCTCAATTTAATGAAGTTATTGAATCTGTTAATGATACAAATATAAGTTGTTCTATACATTTCAATTATCTGGTCATTAAATTTCGGTAACAATATATATTATTTACTTATTGAGTTCTTCAACTAAAATTTATCATTTTCCTTTAATCATAAGGTTTCCTATTCCTGATTTGCGACCATTAAGTGATATTAATCGCTTACCCTGGTGGAAGCGTATATTGAGAGATGATATTTTGTGGCTGTATTTATCTGATGCTGAAGGTTCATTTACAAAAGTATCGCAACAAGATATTACTACTGGTTTTGAAGTTCAATGCCGGACTATTGAAGCTTCATTTCAAGAAGAAAATAGCAATAATATAATTCCTATTGCTAAGTGTAAAGGATTTGATGATGATTTAAAAGTTATCAGAACGGAAGCTAAGCGTAGACCTAAGTAAGTATTTATTGATACTCTCTCTCATATCCAAAGTTTAAAGTAAAAATACTATACATGGTTTATTAAATATTTATTACTACCATCTTTAAACTTGTTTTTATTTTTATTAGTTATTTAATATTAATATATATTATTTGATTTGTGGTAAAACCATGTTGGATTATTACATTTTTAATTATAATATACATTTTCATTTCTTAGATTTGTATTAAAATTATGTCCAGTTAGCAGTCAAATTGAAACAAAAAATGAAAATATAAATGCTGAACATAATATGACTAGTAGTGTTTATGTTGAATCCTATAAAAAACCATCACCATTTGCTTCCAAAAAAATAATGAGACAAAGAAATCATCATTCTGATTGTAATGATCAAGGACGAAAACTAGGTGATGGAGAAGAACAAGTAGTTCCCGGTTCTAGAGAAGAAATTATGGAATTTGTTGAAAATACCAATAATAATGCTAAAGTGTATTTAGACATAAATGTACCTTGTTTATTTATCACATTGCCTTCCAAGCATTTATATGAAACTATTTACAATAGGTTTGATATAATTTTTAATCAATTTAAATGATTAATAACAAATATTGAAGTTAATTAATGTTCATAGATTTACAAATGATTTATTCTTTTGGTCTCCATTATTTCCTACTCCTACATCACGTGGAAATGATACAACCAGATTATCACATATATTGAATAAAACTCGTTTTTTTGCACCTTGCAAATCTGGAATTCAATTTGGTAAATTTTATATATTCATAACTTATTTTTCTTAAAATTGTCATTAACATAATTTTTTACTAAATAGATTCAGAAAGTGAATCAGAAGATGAAACATCTGATGTTTATTATTCATGTGGGCAATCTAACATGAATATTGCTGATCCAATGATTAAAAGAACTGAATTTTGCCTCAATTTAAATGTAGCACAAGGCTTGTTTACTATTGTTATACAGTCAAGAGTAATTATTACAATTAGTTTATTATTTATAAAAATTTTAAATCTAAAAATATTTTGCAATATATTTCTAAAAATAGTATTTTGATAGGATCGTTCCGGGAGAGTTATACCTCAACATTATGGTGAATTACAAATAACATTTGAAGATCTTTATTTATACTTAGCAGCTGGATATGAAAATACACCTAGACATAATTTTATTTGTATCCAAGCTAATAAATTCTGTTTAAGTCATGAAAGTAAGATTTATAAAATATTTGATTTTTATTATAAATTGATTATATATTTGTTAATTTTTTCATTTAGACCTTTCCTCAAATAGTAGTAATATCTTGACTCAAAAAGAAGTAATAATACGAAAAAATAAACTATTAAAACGTGTTTTATATAAAATACCCGATGGTATGGATTTTAAAGAACGTTTGAGTATGGATAAGTCAGATATGTTAACTGTTGTGGTTGAAATATCTGTTTGTGATCACATAAAAGTAATATTTATACATTATTAAATTATCAAATATTTCTTATTTTAATATTATATATTATCAACTTATAGACAATAAGAGTGGCAAATGAAATAAAAGGCACTGCATTAAGACATATATTTAGTGTTGTTGCACAAAGTTGGTATTACCAATTATCTGATTTCTTTGATGTTGTGGATTATCCAGTAGCTGGATATGAATCTCCACATGTAATCACTGAACTACATCAACATATTACTGATTGTCTTATTGACTATAGGTAAATTAGTAACGCAATCCTTTTGTTTTTACATTTGTTATTTCATCAATTTAAATTTTATAGGCCTCTTCATTTATCATACCAATGTGTACTTACTGTTGGAAATTTCAGTTTATCAAGTAATATTGTTGCAAGATCTAAAGCATCAACCCTTCAAATAGTATCTGAAGATGTTGCTTTCTTTATTTCAACCCATTTGTCCAAAGCTGAAAATGTTGATTTAATATCAAATTATATTTGTGTTATGGACTTGGGTGTTTTTGAACTTTCTTTGAAACTTAGCAAGAGTGCCAAACAATCAAATGTTTTGGTACAACCTGAAGTAGATTTGAGAATGGCTGTCAATGTTATACATATTAGAACATGTGCAGACTCTGCATTTGCTCTTTGCCGTATACTCAGTTATTTAGCTTCTGATGGGGATAAAAGTGCTATAGAAGATGAAATAACCGAGTTTGAAGGAGTAGAACAGGAAGAACCAGTTCTATTAAATCAAGTTGATTCTGATAATAATTCATTATCTAGTCTTATAATGGAAGCTATGCATGAAGAATCTACAAATATTAAGAAATCTAAATACCCAAATACTGCTAAAAAATCAAACTTAGATAAAGGTGCAAATGAAAATGAAAGTAATAAAGGAGTTGAAGTCTTTTATTTTCCGGATGAAACCAATAAAACAATTACTCCATCAGATGTTCAACATACTTTGGAATCTGAAGATGAAGATGATAATATTGAAAAAGAATTTTGCTTTGTTGAACATGAAGTAGGTTCTGGATTAATGGTAAGATAATTAAAAAACTAAAAATCTTCTGTAATTTTAATTTGTTCCTTCATTTTTTTATAAGGTTCAAAGCAATATTCCAGAAGTGCGAATATTAACAGATACTCAAATTCGTTTGGTTAATAATTATTTTAAGCCTCCAGTTGGAAAAATTGATATGCTCCAGGCCCCCAAAGAATATCCTACTCCTGTAGTTAGATATACATTACGAGAAATGACTTTAATTTGGCATATTTATGGTGGAACAGATTTTGGTACTAAAACTATTCATAATGAACTAACGAAACATGTAACAATTGTATCAGAAACGTTAGTAAATTGTATTGTAACTGAATATTTTACATTAAAAATTAAATTAAATTTATTTTGTATAGAAATTCATGTCCAACTTCCCCTAACACTTTGAGGCCTTCTCTTTCTCGATATTATTCTCAGACCAATATAAATGCACAGGTATTTTTCTTTTTTTCTTAAATAAGAATTATACATTTTTTTTTTTTTTTTTAATTTGCTTATTCATACATTTTATTTATGGCATTTATAAGTTTTTTTTTTTTAATTTTTACATTACAATAGAAAAATCCTACTTCCAATAAAAATAAAGGATCAGCTAAGATTTCTCAAGCCAGAACAAGATTTTGTTGCAGTGTTTTACCCACCAGTTGGCAGGCAAAAGGTGGTGCAGGAAGACAACATCATGTGTTAATGCAACTTCAGTTAAATAAGGTATGTACTTAATTGTCTGTTAATTAATTTGAAAGTATAAATATACTGTTTTTAGGTACGATTTCAACAAGAAATTTACCCATCTCACACAAAACATGCCTTGAGGCAAGTGATTCTGATTCAAGACTTTGAGATTCGAGATAAACTTGCATCTTCAAACATAAATAAATTTTTGTACCTTTATTCAAGTGAAGCCATGCCTAAACAACATGATGCTAATATGGTAAGTAACTCGAGTGTTGGAGGTTGTTAACTATTTTGTCTTTTTTTAATAAGATTATTAATTTTATATGAAAATATCAACAGCTTGTTGCTAAGGCGGCTCATACACGACCTGATTCAAATTTAAAAGCTCAAGAGTGTTGTATCAAAGTGTCTATGTTACCATTAAGACTCAACATTGATCAAGATTCTTTAATTTTCCTGATCTCATTTGTTAATCAATTTAATTCGCTCAGTCAAAAAACCAAAGATGGTATTATTATTATTAATTTTTAGAAATTTGTTTTTCAAAAATCTTATTTTTTAGAAATATTAAGTGAGAAGAAAATGCCTATAAAAACCGAGGAACCTATAATGACTTTAGGAAGTACCAATGAAAGACAACAAGATGTTACTTTTAATCCGTTAATTCAGCTGAACGATGAATTTGATGAACATTTTGGACAAAAAGATATACCTAATATTCCTAAACCTGAAACTGGAACAACTTCAAATGATTGTAAAACTCCTGTTTATATTCGACAATTTGTGTTTTCTCCAGATGTAACCATACGTTTAGACTATGAAGGCAGACATATTGACTTTAGTCAAGGTTCATTAAATGGTTTGCTTATGGGTTTGGCACAACTCAATTGTTCAGAGATCACATTGAAACGCATCGTTCACAAGCATGGGTAAAATAATATGGTTATCTTATTTTGGTATCTTATTGCACTTATAAAAATTGTTCATTATTTTTTCAGTTTACTTGGCTTTGACAAACTATTAACATATGTTACCCAAGAGTGGTTACAAGATATAAAAAAACACCAGCTTCCATCATTACTTGGCGGTGTTGGTCCAATGTATTCGTTTGTCAGATTAATACAAGGTATTAGAGATCTAATACAGCTTCCTATTGAACAATACCAGAAAGATGGAAGAATAGTAAGAGGTCTACAAAGAGGTGCCAATTCATTTACTACATCAACAGCTATGGCTGCTCTTGAAATAGCTACCCGAATAGTGAATCTAATTCAGGTTAGTAAAGAAAATCTTTTAACAAACCTATAGAATTTTTAAATTTACCATTGTTTTCAAATGTTTTGTAGAGAGTAGCGGAAACTACCTATGATATGGTAAATCCTGGACCCAGCATGCGACAATTAAGACTACAAGAATCTAAAAAAAGAAATCGTCCCAATAAACGATCTCATCCTGCTGATATTCGAGAAGGAGTAGCTGCAGCATTTACATTAGTCAAAGAAGTTAGTATTCATACATTTCTCATAAAATCATTAAAATTAATATATTTAGTATATTTTTGGGACACTTATAAGTTTCTAATAAAATTGAAATGCCATAACAAATTGTTGACTATGGTTTCATATTTATTATAATAAAAACAACTCATTTAAAGTATACTTTTGTTAAATATAATTATTTACCCTTCAAGATAGTAAAAATACAATATTAATTAAATTTGATCCTATAGATTAAAATATACACACATATGTTTACACATGTATGGTAGGGATGGGCAAAATTGTTTGACTATTGATATTCGATGTATTGATACATCGATTTTTAAAATATCGAAGTGTTTAATGTATCAGTGAAAAACCATCAAAAAAAATTTTTTTCCCTCTAGAGCTGCCATCTGTTGTACACCTTATTATCTGTACAGTGTACTATTTTCTCAATTAAATAATAAATTTAAGAGTTAAAATACTATTATTTAACTTATATTTTTTAAAAACATATTAAATACTTATAATCAGGGCTCGTAAGTTCATGCATTTGCATGTTTTCTTTCCAATATCAAAAAATATGCTAATTGAGATAAAAATCTATTTCATAATAATGGTACCTAATAAAAATCTAAAGTTTAATTGAGCATTTTTTTTACATGTTTTGTGTGTATTGACATATTTGGCATATAGTTGATTTTTTTTTTTTTTGAGTTATTAGCGCTTTTTATTTTATATAAATTCAGCTAAATAGTTTTTTGTGGAAGCCAAAAAAAAAAAATTAGATCAATAAAACATTTAATGAATGCATTCTTATTTACTTTTCCGAATTTTTTTATAAAATTTTAGTGTTTTATCAATATTTTTATTTTTTAATGACATTAAATTTTATAAGTTAAAAGCAATACCACGAAAACAATGTTATTGCGCACCACTACCATTCTTCTGTTATTAACGTGTCCATTGCATCTATCTATTTTCATTGCAACGTGTGTTCATTAATTATAATTTTAATAAAATGTAACTGAAGAAAAAATATAACTTTTAAAAATATAAATGGATAATTCTTATTATTTTAACCTAACCTTAAATGTTTTTTTTTCGTGCATAGTTAAAGATTTTTATTATATATTTGCCTTTAATTTAAATTATGACCTATTATTTTTGTCTGAAACATGGCTAAACAGTGACATTAACAATGTTAAGCTTGGTCTTGTAGATTATAACTTATTTAGAGTGCATAGAATTTCTAATTTACATGTAAGAGGTGGTGGAGTTTTATTGGCTACTAGAAAACATCTAAATTGCAAATTATTAAATTTTGACATTATTCAATATGTTGATCAAATAATTGTTTTGCTCTTTTATAATAATATTAATATACTTCTAGGTTGCGTTTATTTCCAACCAAATTCCCATATAAATTTATATAATGAGCATCGTGAAATGATAGAAAATTGTTTGATATAAATATTAACATTAACTCAATGACCATATCTGAGGATGAAATTTCTGATTATTTAATATTTATTGATGATAAATCGCCAACTGGCCCCGATGATATTGCACCGATTTTCTTAAAAAAATGCTTTTCAGTGCTTGTCAAGCTTTTACACTATTTTTTTAATTTATTTTTATCAACCGGTGTTTTTTCTAGTTTCTGGAAAAAATCATTTATTACACATATAAGTCTGGGAGTAAAATGACATCTGTAATTATCGACCAATCTCTAAACTCTCTTCTATACCTAATTTATTTGAGGCTATTATTTCTAAAAAACTGTCTAATATATTATTAAATTATATTAATCCCACTTAGCATGGTTTTTTTAGCGAAACACTTGATTTTCACCAATTTACTAGTGTATCAAAATTATCTCACTAATGCTTTAGATCAAGGACTTCAAATCGACACTATATATACTGATTTTCAAAAGGCTTTTGACAAAGTTGACCATATCTTACTATATTATAAATTAAAATCATTTGGTATAGATGGATTTTTTCTTTAATGGCTATACTCGTACCTCACAAACAGTACTCAAGCAGTCAAAATCTCATTTCATACATCTCAAAATTTTCAGGTCTCTTCAGGGGTTCCTCAAGGTTCCCATTTCGGTCCTCTACTGTTTCTAATTTTCATTGGTAATTTACCACATTTTATATTAGAAAATTCTAACATAGCACATATTTTATTATTCGCTGATTGATGCTAAAATCTTCTGCAAGATTAAATCTGAAGCTGATCAAATAAATCTACAATCTATGTTAGATAATTTTGTTATATGGAGCGAAAAAAATTATTTACCCCTAAATATTGATAAATGTAATGTAATTTCTTTTACCCGTAAAGCTAATCCTCTTTTGAAACAATATATAATAAAAGACTCTTATTGAGAGTCAATTCAATTAAAGATATAGGGATTCACTTTGAAAGTGATCTTGGCTTTAAAATTAACCATAAATCAATCCTCAACAAATCATATAAGATATTAGGTTTCATAAATAGAAATACTAAAGAATTTAGAAATCCCAAGTGTTTAAAAACTCTTTATACTCTTTATAGATCAACTAAAGAAGATCTAACCTAAAATTTAGTCCAATTGTTTTGTCCCAAAATCTATCAACATTTTACTCTGAATTTGATAATGTCCAAAACAAATTTCTTAAAAATATATCGCATAAATTAAATCTTCCTTTTTCCAGAGACTCAATCATTCCACTACAGGAATCCTTGGATCTTGATAATCTCTCTGAGACAAAATCTAACGGACATAATGTTTATTTTTGATATTCTCAATGGTTATGTTCTTTGTCCTGAATTATTAGAGATGATAAGTCTCCGAAGTCCTTGTCTATATATGCGCAACCTAGTTTTATTTGTTATTCCACATTATAGGACAAATAGTGGAGCTTTTTTTTTTATTCCCAGAGCTAATATAATCTCCCACCATCTTGATTTTTTTAATTCTACTCGTGTCAATTTTAAATTAAATACTGTACTACTTCTAAAAAAATCCAATTTATTTTATTATCTTTAGTCACTATATTGTTTTTAGTCATTTACATTTAATCTTAGTCTTATATATTTAATTGTAAAATCATTATTTAAATTTTGTATTATTATTACCGATTTTTTATGTATCTTGGTTGTTGTCATATTTGTTATATTATATATATTTTGTAAAGGGCTATCGCCCGTTGAATTATTCAATAAATATTTGATCAAATGTTAGTGCATGAACTTACGAGCCCTAATTATAACTGTATAGTGTATACTGTATAACGATTTACGTATACTGCATACTAATATAATACAAACAAACAAAAAATTCGAACTTTTCGAACATAAACATCGATTTTTAAGTTCAATCATTTTGATCATAAACATCGATGTTTAATCGATTAATCGAAAACAAATCATCGATGTTGAAACATAGATATATCAACCTAAAACATAGATGTTTTTTGTCCATCCCTAATGTATGGTGGAGGTATACTACATGTGTCACCTAATAATAGTTTATTTTGAGTTATAGAATATAATAGTCAGCATTCGGCAGGCCTAAATAATTTACATTAACTGTATCAATGATAATATTAATATATTATGTTATATACTATAGAATATATAAGTTATATTATTTAATACAATAGAAAAATAGGATAGTATTTATGTATAAATCTTTAAACATAAAAATAAAAGATTAGTGAAAAAATAAAAAATAAAGAAAACCTGCAAATAATATCTGTACATTTTTATGTATACACATTGCTAATACGTAAAAATAAAATAATTTTTAATATTAGTAGTCTCATTAAAAAATGACTATTAAGAATTGCTTGTAAGAAAATTTGTCATTATTTATGATCCATGATAAATAAATTTCAGATTTTACTGTTGGAATTAATAAATTATAAAACTAGTGGAATATTGGTCGGTTTATTAATTAATTAATTAGTTTATTTATTTTTAACAAAATTATTATTTTAGGGTCTTGGTGAAACTGCAGAAACTATAGTCAGAGTGGCAAGTGAAGAGCATGAAATCAAGGGTACCGCTGGTATGGTTGGTGGTGTCATGCGGCAAATACCTCCTACAGCTCTTACACCTATTATACTTGCCAGTCAAGCTACTTGCAATGTCCTTCAAGGAGTTCGTTGTCAACTGGCACCAGATGCTCGTGTTGAAGCAATGCAAAAATGGAGGTGTGATTAAACATTGATTTACATATCATATGACCAATATTATGTATATATAGTATACATTCATATATTTTTTTTTAATGATGTTTGTGCTTTTTGTTTCCGAAATCAAAATAATTTTGAATGGTAGAATGTGAATTTAATATATTTTTGTGAATTCTATAGCATGTTCAGGATATTTTATTCTTAAAAACTATATTGAATGATCATACTTGAAACACTGAGACATTAATTATAGTAAAACAAAAATTGCAATATATTATATTTTTTTCTAATTCTAGTGCCATAATTTTGTGGTTTCAATATTTTTAGTCTGCTTAAGACATAAGTGTTTTGATTTGTTATATGTTACATTTTATACTATTAACCAGATGTTTATTTGTCATTTTGAACATTTTGTACAAAAAATAGGAGAGAAAAATAAATAAAGTCAAACATTTTGATGATTATATTGTTTTGCATTTATTTTTTACTATAGTATAATATTAGAAATACATTAGATGATAATGGCAGGAAAACTTTATAATTATTAAAAAAATAAAAATATATACAATATAATTCTTACGTAATAGCCCTAAACTCTGCATGATTTTTCAAATACTTATAATATTACAACCATCTGTGTTGCATAGAGAATGTTTAACAATTTTTTTTCCAAACGCATTCATCATTAGCTTTCCATACACTACAGCCATCTTCATACAGCTCTTTCTTAAAAATAGGAACCGTTGTTTTCAATCTATCTAGTATAAATGAAACAACTTCTTGTGCATGTTTTCGATGAGGAGAAGAGGCAGCGATCACAACTCCTGCTTCACTAACTTTTACTTCACCAATCCTTATACACAATGCATGTTACTTATTATTTTTATATTTTCAATAATTTTTTAATTACCTGTGATGTATTGCGATGTTCATTACTTCAGGCCATTTTTTTTTAGCTAACTCTATAATGCTTTTCATTTCATTTAAAGCCATTGACTCATAAGCTTCATAGAACAATGTTTTCACTTTATTCCCATCAAAATGTTCCCTAGTTGTTCCAATAAATATTGATATTGCTCCACAATTAGGAGAGTTCACAAAATCCATAACGGAACCAATATCCAACTGAGAACTGACAATTTTCAAATCTATCATTTTTTTAACCTGAAAGTACAAATTTATTTAAAGTACTTTTTTATTTAAATCCTCAGACCTAATGTTTTTAGTCAATTACCTCCACTTATTGGTGGGATAATTGCTACAATATCGCCTTCAATCAAGGTAATTTCCAAACTGTCGGATATGTAATTTTCGTTGACAGCTATTATAAATACGTTTTCTATTGATAACAAATTGAATTGGTCTACCAGTAAAGAACGCAAATCATGACCATATAGTGTTTGTGGAACTTTAATATTAGTACTGTTCAATTGAGCTAACTCACGAGCTTGAGCAAAAAATATAATCTTAACATTCACCTCAGTCATCACCTGTACAATTAAATATAAATTACTTTTTTTTTTTAATTTCTGATTAATTTTTGTCAATACTAATTTTTTTCAACAAAAAAAAAATATTAAAAATTCCAATTAACTTTTCTGGTACATAAATAACCATAGGCGTGCGCAGACTTTGTCCGCAGGGGGGGCCCCTTAAAAAAGTGAACCAAAGATTCTTGTACTAAAGACTACTAGTATAATTAAATATTTTAAATTTTATAAATTATTTATTTAATTCAATATGCAAATATAAAAATAAATACTATTTAAACTTACACAATTTATATCTAAGAAATCCTTATTTACATATTATTATACTATTTACAACTCCATCCTTTTGTCCACGGGAGTAAGGTTTTTGAATGTATCAATTACATCATCAATTTTTATATTATATGCAAGTTCTGATTAGTCTGATTAATAACTAATAACTTTATTATATTTATTCACAGACATCAATTCTATACTATAAGATTAAAACGGGCTTCACTTTATTCATGTAAAATGTAAAAATGTTCGCTATCTTGTATAGTATAGGTATACATTTATTAAAGAAAAAGCCAGAGTCCGCAGGGGGGGCCCACCCGGCCATCCCTGTGCGCACGCCTATGTAGATAATCTAAAACAGATATAACATAAGGTTTTGAAAATGTTTAAATACATACATTTTTATTAAATAGAAAGTGAATTATTGTTGGATTGGGCTGTTTACTTCTCATGGTTATAGTACAAACATTTTATTTATAGTATTATTAATATATTATAAAGTATTAATACATTTTTGATTTAAAAAAAAATCAACATTCAAAGGTGTACATTTTATCTCATAATTTACTTACTTATGTATTGTTTTCAATAAATATAACACAAATTGATTTTATATTTAAAGAACTTATTAAAGTTAAACATTTTAAAAATAAATATACATTTTTATTTAATATTTATATTGTACTCGTGGAAAAAATAATTATTTAAAATTATAATTTATCATATATTATATTTATGATTAAAAAATGAATAAGACCAAATATTTAGTTAATGTACTTCATATTATTAGAGATTAATTTTATCTCAACACTTGAACAAATTATTTTTTCTTATCTGAGTAATGAACCATTAGGAAAACATTCCACATGTATGTACATGACATTAGTAAATTAATTATTTTACTATATTATTAAAATTACAACAATAATAATATTAAAACAAATAATATATATTTTTAGTAAAATCATATGGGAAAAAAACAAATATCTTAACTCCAACATAATAGTGATATTTTTTTATAATACATATTATTTGCATATAAATATACATGGTATATTAATATGCAATAAATCAGATAGGTCTATAATAAAATGCATGTTCTACAACAATCCAAAATTCCAAAAGACTTTTGATTATTATAACTTTTTTAAAACATTGTTTGATTGTAAATGTATACTAACAACAATTATTTAAAAAAAACACTCAAATATAGTATTAACAGAGATTACATGGTAATCCACACACCTAAATTCTAGATAATTATACTGGATAGAACTAACGTTTGGAGTAGTTCAAACTTTCAATCACACGACGTGCGAAATTATAAGTAATAACTAGGGCCCGGATTTAAATGCACTGAAAACCATACAAATATGCTATAACAATAGCCAAAAATTCCTTAAAAAATGCATTTTACCACAAAAATTAACTTAAAAATGAAAAAATAACATTTTTTTTTTTAATTTGGGCATTATTTAATACATTAAAATCACAATCACACGTAATACGAGTAAGGTCTGCGAGGTAATATGAACTATAGCTGATTATTTGTTATTAAACCGAATACTGGTGACGTTCCATAGTCCAGCATTTCCCAAAGTGTGTTCCGTGGGACAATGCTAAGGGTTCCGCCAGATGTATGCGATTATTCAAAAACTTATTTTATACTATATTTGGAAAAAATATTATTTCATATTATTTAAAAAAATTGTGTTTTAAATTAATTTAATAAAGAATAATTATTAACAATATTAACAGTATCATTAAAAACATTTTTAAGATTATTAGTTTTTCTATTTTTTTTGTTTTTTAAAAAAATTAGAGTTGAATTGGAATTAAAGACATTAGGGTTCCGCGAAACACAAACTGTTTTTTAAGGGTTCCATGATCAGTGGCATATTTACGAATGGAAGGGGGGGGGGTCCAGGGATACAGGACCCCTAGAGGGGGGAGAGGGTCCAGGAATACTGGACCCCCCCACAAACTCTCCAAAAAATAAAAAAATAAATAAAATTCTTACATATTTGCAGAATTGCATATGTTAAACATTCACAAGGAAGTTGAAATTACTGTTGAAGTGATAGAGGAGTTGGCCAGAAAATCAAGACAACTGCAATTTATTTTATAACAATACTTTGTAATATATAGCAGCGATTCTTAACATTTTGTAGATCACGAACCCTTGGTAAAAAAAGATTTTTAGAAATTGCGGACCCCCTTACGAATTATTTTAGAATACATTTTTTTTTTTACATAACACTTCATGATATTAAAACCAAAATTATAAAAATGATTTTATATAATAAATTATATTATTAGAAATAACAAAACATATATATTTATAAATATTTTTCTTGCAGTTCATTTTTCAGTAATTTAATTTTAATTATTTTATTTTTTGTAATATTTTTAAAATTTAATTATTATATTAATTAATTACTTATATTAATTTGATGTGATGGTTGATGTTATACTTAAGATACAAGTTTTTGAACATCGTATGAAGATAAGATCTATCTATTGTAATAAAAATATATGAAAAAGAAATTAATAATAATAATAATAATAATCCAACAATATTATATTAATGCTCTCATGCCACGTATTGACGTATTTTATATGTTAGGGCTGTTGCGGACCCCCGAAATGAGTATCACGGACCCCTAGAGGGCCGCGGACCACAGGTTGAGAACCACTGATAAATAGTGCTAAATACAATATATAGGTATATTGTATATTATATATATATATATATATATATAATATTACATAAGACTATACGATTATGACATTATATATTTAGTTCAACTTCCTCCAAAAACTGCATAAGGACGTAACTATTACAATATAATATATAGTTTATATTAATTATGTATAAACTATGGATCCCCCCCCAAAAAAAAATTGAAAATACGACACTGTCTGTGATTGTAAAAGTTTGGGAACCTCTGCCATAGTCAATAATAAATTAAGGTAAGATAAAAACTGAATCAAAAAATAAAGATTGACAATGTGTATGGAAAAACCCGATAAACCTACTTAAATATCAAGAAAATAATTTGTCTTTTGATTTTATTTTGAATAGGCTTATTTTGATTGTTACATCGAATATATATGCATTAAAAACTAACAAAATGACCCAATAATACTAAAAATGCTCTAAAAACGAAAAAACATCATAATTTGAAAAAAGATGCAAAATAAAATTTGTAGTTTTGAAATCCTCGTTACATGAAACGAATTATGTTCTTAGAGAGCATTGTGTATGATCAACGAAAAAAATATGCACTTTGCATTGAAATCCAGGCCCTAGTAATAACTAATAATCGTGTTGATCGGAATCCATACTATGCAATCGTCTATGAATTGAACAGCCAAAAATGTATTTTACTCACCTCGACGGGACTGTGGGCTCACTCAGCCCTCTTGCGGTCTCGAACAGACGGACAACAACCGAAGTCTAACGATTGTTCGGTCGTTCGCTTGGGTTCGCGGTTAACGAGAGCAAGGCTGGACGCCATGGTACGGCTTCAGGACTTCCGGAACGTTATGTAACACACGCGATCGCTGTAATTACATCATTTCAAATCCCGAACACTGATATAAGACGTGGGGCAATTCGATCGTCATCCCGCACCGTGAAGTCCGTTTGTTTTCGAAAACCGTATGACAACGAACACCACCTGATAACGCGATGTACTTATCAGCATAGATATGGACACGATGTGCACATGGTAATGCACTATTATTGATAATATCTGAGCGCACGGCAGTTAGGTCGAGTATATGACGTTGGCGATGTCGATGAGAAGCTCGCTGATTAATTGAATCATTATAGTGTTCATTATGGTGGTTCTTTTGGGCGGTCCGTCTGTCACGAGATCCGGACTTGTGCGGTCGGCTTGGTAGACAAACTGGTCCTGCTGGTGTTTACTGTTTTGGGAGTTGGTCATGACCATGGTCACTTTTCCAGACCCCTGGGGATCGGTCGTGATCCGACATTGTCACCTGATTCTCCCCTGAGGAAGTGGGAGGTGAACACATGTAGAAGAACGTAAAGTCCTCCTCGATCGGGAGAGACGGCTCGGTGTTTTCCAGCACCCGATCGCCGACTTCCATCGACTTCTGAGAGCCGGTCGAGTTGCCTGTTTTGTTGCCGAGTTCCTCCAGTCGGCCTGCCCTTGTGAGCATTTCCGACCCGGACGATGATGGCTCCATCATCTCACTGACGAGGGTTCCCTCGGAGGTGCTCTGGCTATCCGTGCCACGTGCCGACTTATGTAGCCGGTACTGCTGGTTGGGGCCCGCCCGCTCGGTTTGGGATTTCTTCCATGCCTCCTCCAACTTGCGGCGCTAGAACTCCGTCCTGCGCTCCGCGTCCCTTTCACGTTTCCGGATGACCCTATAACAGGGCCCTTGTTTGACTGCCCTGGAACTGACTCCTTTCTGGTGACCGGTGTCGGCATCGGTGTTGGCCAGGGTTCCAGAGGCCCCGGTTTCGTTTTAGGTGGCGCGGGTGGTGGTGACGGTAGTAGGTCTTGGTATGCCACTTTCGAAGGCATACCAGTCCACTCCGTCGTTGGCGAGTGTGGATCCGCCGCTGGCCGGCATGGGTGGAGTGGCCAACCTAGGGCTAATCTCACCCAACGGATCGTTGGATCCGTCATTGGGACTGGCGCAGGGGTGGGGCTGTCCGTATTTGAGGGGCCGGTGTTGTCCGTAATTTCGCCTTAGGACGGCGAGTCGCTGGTGTCGCGTATAGGACCCGGCGCACCTCCACCGCTTGGTCCGCCATTTCACTGCAATATGCCGCCCACAGTGTCAGATCGGCTTTTAGGGCCGCTACCGTCGCTCCCTTGACCTCCAACGCCGACGTCATCTGTCTCCTGTCCACGAAGTCGGTGCTGAAAAGAATTTTGTCTATTATCGGATTCCGTTAATTGTTTAAAAATTGTCTTTAAATCTACAATAGTTGTAGTATGATAATTATTATTATAGTTATTATGATAAATTATATAAATATAATTACCATAAAACTTACGAATTTATTTACTACGATTATAGTACCTTTAGCTTTTTACTTTATTTCTAATACATCATGAATTAATTAATAATTAGATGTTATGAATATTCGTTCTAAAATTTTTTTTATAAAATTTGACAACCGATGATTCTCGCATTTGAATTGCAAATACTTATTAACTATTATGAATTGATAAATAATAATAATAATATTGATATTGTAATAATATATTGCAGGTCTTGCGGTGTATAACGGTAATGTCTAGGCTTAGGGACTTCTAGCATACTTTTTTTAATTATTGTTAATTATAGCAGAGTGCGAAATAAATTCGTTTCTCGGTGCCATGATATCAGATCTAAAATTTGAATGTGCATATTTTTGCATATTTGATAGATTTTGCAGTAGGGTGCATATTTTAAAATTGTTATGCTTATTTTGCATATTTTGACAAATTTTTCAAATTTTATTATTATTATTATTAAAATTAAAAACTATTGATATATATAACATTGTGGTGACGTAAACAATGCACCGCGAATTGTCCAAGTTGTTTACAATATTGTCAGTGGATAAGGGGAAACCCATGTTCTAGAATATGCGATGATTATCTCGTTAAGGTAATTTCGAGAAAGTTCTAGACCAGTGGTTCTCAACGGGGGCAATATCGCCCTTCAGTGGGCGGTGAAGTGTCACAGAGGGGCAATGAACTAGTTTTGGGCGGTAGGGGGGCGGTGAACTAATTTTGGGTGGTAGAGGGACGGTAAACGGTTCACGCAAAAACGTTGTAGATGGTGTCGGTGTGACCTAAAAATAATTCATACTTGATAATCCATACAATAACTATCAGTCACTACTAAATCTACGCATTGCACTATAACTTATCTTTGATTGTTGACAAATTTATTATCTTAATTATTTTAGCGATTGTGCGTTGACATTATACTTTATTATAGGTACCTATATTAACCAACCTTTTAGTACACCGTTTGATTTGACCCGCGTATGTTGTATATTAGTTTTCGTTATATTCAGTCGGTTGGTAAAGTGTTTTTTTTTAAATTGTTTTCAATTTCATAAAATTGTATTTACAAAAATGTCTGATGCAAAAAGAAAATGCCGTCAATATAATACGACGTATTTAAAGTTTGGATTTATTCCATCGCCATCCAACATACAGCTCCCTATGTGTTTAATTTGTAACAAAGTGTTCTCCAATGAGGCAATGAAACCATCTCGTTTGCAGGAACATTTGCAAAAAGTTCATCCTGACAAACAAAATAAAGATTTGTCGTTTTTCACAAATATTAGGGACAATTTTCAGAAGGCACCATCGGTCTCAGGCTTATGCGCAGGCTCATCAAAACAATGCGATGATGGTTTGATTGCTTCTTATAATATATCGAAATTGATCGCAAAATCGGGAAAAGCCCATACCATAGGCGAAGAGTTAATACTTCCAGCTGTCAAAGAAATTTTAGAAACGGTTTTACACCATTCAGCCTCACACAGTGTAATACAAAATGTCCCATTAAGCAACGATACTGTGCGACGGCGAATCGACGAAATGGCGGAAGACGTTGAAATTTCATTATGTGAACTTCTAGTATCCACCGAATTTTCACTTCAAATCGACGAATCAACATTACCGAATAATGAGGCATTACTATTGGCATACGTCCGGTTTGTAAACAAAGGAAAAATCGTTCAAGAAATGCTTTTTGCAAGGACCTTGATTACTGACACTAAAGGTGAATCTATTTTCAATATAGTCAAAGACTTTTTTAAAGAAAAAAATATTCCTCTTAAAAACGTTATATCTATTGCCACTGATGGAGCACCTGCAATGGTAGGACGTCATCGTGGGTTCATAGCTTTTTTTAAAAATGAAATACCCGGTATTTTAGCTATTCACTGCGTCATTCACAGACAACATATGGACTTTTAAGAACGTTTTAAGGATATTTTGTCGTTGGAAGTTCCTCAATGGGTCATGAATCCTTTTATAAATATTGAGACAGCAGAGATACAAATTCAAGAAGAACTAATCGAACTTTCAACTGATGAAACATTGAAATCCAGTTTCAAAGGTAGTGACCGGCTCATGGAATTTTGGCTTAAAACTAACATAGTTCATAATTATCCTGGACTGTGGTCTCTCGTTAAAAAAAAGGAACCGACTGGATATCGTGACAAGAGGAGATTTACGACGTAAGCTAACAAACATCGAACCTAATATAAAAAAACTTGCTAAAAACCACCAAGTTCAACCATCTCATTGAAGCCTAGCAATATATTTTTAAAGAAAATAAAAAATGTATTTATATTTATATTTTTTTAAATAATTAATTTAATATTTATTTATTTATTTATCAATATTCATTTTTTTTAAATTAATTTCCATAATACTAGTTCTATAAATAAAAACATGAGTTATTAGATCATTTCAATTTTTTCTTTTAAATTTTCCAAATACCCTTAATTATAGAGTTCTTACATTGTAGGGGCGGTTAACAAATTTATTGACACTCAAGGGGGCGGTAACTTAAAAAAGGTTGAGAAACACTGTTCTAGACAATCGACGCCGATATATATATACCAGTTGGTCAGACGATCATTCAGTCAGTCCATGAGTACAATCCGCGACACACCGTGAATTACATACCGCGATATATTCGGCGATTCCTCCGCAATTGTAACGCGTATCGATATTTGTTTTTCTCATTAATGTACATACATATTTATATAATATAGTGTTTATTTTAATTAAATTGTGAGTGATTTTTATTACTTAAATCCCACAACATATATACATATATCAACCGATCGAAAAAAAAATGTACTAAAAGGACTTAATATTTCCAGTATAATATGCTGTCTGCAAACTACCTCTCATATTTGGTTATAATTTTTATGCAATTTTTGTCAATAATACTATAAACCCAGTGGCGTAGTCAAGGGGGGGGGCTAAGGGGGCTATAGCCCCCCCCCATGGGCTGTGTTTATATGTATAATGTATCTTGACTAATAGAATCAATGGATGCTCGTTTTAATCAAAGGCTTATTGATGTTATGCCACTTGAAGGACTTATTCCGGCCAATTTAAATATGTATGACGATAAAAATATTATAAAAACTGCTAAAATATATGTCCAAGATCTCCATGATAATACCTAATCTACAATTGGAGCTAACCTGTTCATATGGAGGCAACAATGGAGTCAAAATACTATTCCAAAACCGAATTCTGCTCTTGATTCACTCTCTCATCACACCAATCTTCGACCTAACATTAAAATACTTTTACAATTATTCGCCACGTTACCAGTTACCTCTTTCACTCCGGAAAGAACGTTTTCAGCACTTAATCGCTTAAAAATTTTTTTAAGAAGCACCATGTCGGAAAACAGACTGAATGGGTTAGCTATGGCTAATATAAATAAAAAAGAGCAATTTGATGAAAGTGAAATAATAACTGAATTTGCCAGAAATTCGCCAAAGAGGATGCAGCTGTCAGAGTGGAGCAAGTGACTGAACACTGAAACCAAAATTATTATTATTATTATTATTATAAATGATATATTAATAAATATTTTTAAAACTATACTAAAATGCTTGAATTACGTTTAGAAACTTGGTGGTAGATGGTGAAGGGGAGGGGGTAAGGCTGAATTCTCATATCCTCTCTTACCTTACTTATCCAAAAAAGTAGTTAGCCCCCCCCCGTTTAAAAATCATGGCTACGCCACTGTATCGTGTAAGAAAGTGATGCATGATAAGTTATCACTAATAAAATCGCCTAATAAACTACGGATATTATGACAATTCCTAGGCAATGATATAATTTCATTCCACTATTAAAAATTGTCATCCTTACCTACAATGTCAAAATTTCCGGTAACATATATATTAAAATATTTGTTATGGGTACTTTATCTAAAATATTAGAAATATTCGGAGTTTTAATTATTATTATAAATTTTGTTTTTTTTTTATACCGATAATCTGTATTGTTACCTTGTAATATAATAATCAGTTACGATCGTATAATTTTACCATAGATTATTGGGTCGTAAATAAATATGGGTAAGTAAATAAATTAAATCCCAAGATATAAATTTTATTATAGATAACTTAATTTAGATAACAACTTTATTCATTTAAGATAAAATAATAGATAATTATTTCTTTATGTATCTTGTTGAGATAAAAGTTAATTAATTATTAATCTAAATAATGCCCAACATTATTTGTCGTACACCATCGAATTCACTTCGATCAGCTGATCGCATAACCGAGGACCAACAGACATATATTTACCTGTCGTTGTGGCGTTGTTATTGTACCTGGAAAACAGCTGATAACATCTTGATACGCTGATAGCGTTCCAGAGCGAAAAAATAAACACTAAACAAAGACCTAATAAATGCGTCGTAAGTAATTCTTTCATCAACACTATTCATTTTTTATTAGTCATTATGATTTCGAAAATCGATCGACGTCAGAAATAGTTCCCGCTGTTTATAAAGGAGGAAAGAAAAGCGTCCAGAGAGTGATGCGTTCTGCAAGGATCTTACTTGTCAGTTGACATCCTGACGTCGTTGTATCCTGCGAACGAAAATCTCACACAACTGTTTTGAGAAAACTTTTGAACTGTTAACGGACACATCCATTCCGTTTGATTGTCCGCTGATCAGATGGGTCGGATATTCCTCGACCACGTCGGTGGCGATCGGCTGTATGCCTGCGCCGCTTGCGACACCAACTTGACCAACCGTAACGAGCTGATCAGCACCAGGTTTACGGGCGCGACGGGCCGAGCGTTTCTGTTCAATAAAGTCGTCAATCTCAATTACAGGTACGATTGACAATCGTTTGGGTCATCGTCGTCACTGAGTACTTTTGAGATTAATTTTATTGTTCAGACATGGAGAAAAAAAAAATAAATCTGCTGTAGGGAAATTGACGTTTTAGTCTACAAAAAAAAAAAAAAAATTATCCACGAGCAAAATAGCGCTTGACAGTGGTTTGTTCAGAGAAACTCATATTTCCGAAACCCTGTGATATGGATTTCAAACTTGTATGTCAATTCATATTTTTATTTAGTGCCAACTAATTTTACTTGCCATGAACCACATCTAGGCACTTAAATAATATTATTTTTTAATAGATTTTAAAATCTAATAAATATTAATTTTAATTTATTTACTTTAACCAACTCTCCTTTAATTTTATTTATTACTTTATTCTAAAATTCAATATTATCTAGTTTAATGATTCATATTTTTTTTAGTAAACTGTAAGGAAATACAAAAAATGTGTATAAAGCCTATTTCCATAATTCTTAATCAAGTGATACAACAAATTTTAAGTATTATTAAACACATTTCAGAAAATTAAATTTAATGATAGCTTCTAATAAATTTAATCAAAAATATTTGTCACAACTTTTAATATGTTCGACACAATTTACTTAGATGATACAATTTTTAAATGGTTATTATTTGATATTTACAGTGATGTTCAAGATCGAGTTATGCTAACTGGTCGTCATATAGTGCGAGATGTATCCTGTAAAAATTGTGACACTAAATTAGGGTGGATTTATGAATTTGCCATGGAAGAAAATCAGCGCTATAAAGAAGGCAGAGTTATACTGGAGAGAGCATTGGTCACCGAAGGAGATGGTCTTGAACATGAAATATAATTACATAAGTCAAGCGTCATAATAAATTTCTGTACAGATATATATATTTTTTTTCATTTGTATAATATCTATTTATTTTATTTCTATTTTGATAATATATAGTCACTTAAGTTACATATGTACTTTTGAAACAATGGGTGTAAAGTTAAAATGCTTTATTGCTCGTTTAAGAAACAGATGTTTTCCAATGTTTTACATGACCATGTATTAAATGATACTCAATAATCAACATTGGTAACAAAGATAGAAAATGTAATATTTGTAGTATAACATTTATTTTTATTTTTATTAATATATATTACATGTCAAACTAAAAAAAAAGAACTTGAAATTTAAATACGGTTTGAACAAAACAAAATATTTTTTCATTTAAATAGTTTAGTTTTACTATGAAAATTTAAATATTGAGATTTATGAAGTTACTTTGTTATTAACTTCAATGGGATATCGTAATAATTTTAATTTAGTTGCTACAATTAATCAAACATATTTTATTTTACCATTTCATGATTTACGTTCACATTTATTCTGATGTTTCAATTACTAACATACTTATGGTGTATTAAAACTTACTTATGTAAGAACACATTAATATTGCTTCGTATTATAAATTTATTTTGTCAAATTGATTTTCATCTGTAATTAGTTCTAGATGGATGATTTTAATGATAACCTTGTTATTAATTAACCATTAAAATTAAATCTTTTTGGATTTATATCATGTTTATAAATTTTATTTTGTTAATGTTGAAATATATATGGCTTAAAATTACAGTAAGACCAGACCACTACATAAATGAAAATCATAACTAATATACTATTCTGTAGTTGTTTCAAGTTTTAAGTATATTGATAGTTATTCTTCACCATTTTATTGTTAATTACATGGATTAAATAGATACCAATAGTATGTGTATTATATTTATATATTTTAAAATATCCAATTATTGAAAAGAAATTTAACTCCTTATTCTATTTAACAAAATATAGCTACATATACATATAACTGGTAGTTTTTTCTTCTGTTCTCCTTTAAAATATTTAACTCCTAGTATAACTGAATAATTTAATATAATATATAGCATTGTAATATGTATTTAGGAATTTTGTGACCCTGGTAAGAAAACAAAATCCTAACCCCCTTCCCAATCTAAATTTTTTTAGCAAAAGGTATATTTGTAAAAAAAATAAAATACACGATAGTGAAACTAATGCATTCTTTGCTATACTCATAAAATGAAAGATATACATAAAAAGTATAGATTTAATGAATCATATATTAAAAAATTATAGTAGGTATATTTATACAAAAAAAACTTCAATGTAATAGGCTGTGACATTTAAAAAAAACTCCCTTAACATTTATTTTGGCAATTAGATCATTTTGCTTCGCCACGCCTCATATAAAGTGCACCAAATGTATAATATAAAATATTAAAAAATCAAAATAATAATTTTATTAACATCATTACTTTTTTTACACCCAAATAACTTAGGTACCATATTAAGTCAAAATGCTTTCCAAAATTTAGCGCCAAGGGTTCAGACCCATCTCTCATAAATAAGTTTCTGATAATAATTATATATTATTAATATAAAAATTAAAAATAAAACAATTTGTTACTAGATAATTTAAATCAATGTGGATCAGTGTAAAATGTGTAAAAGTATCATGTGATACAATATTATAATCAGTCATTAATTGTAACATATGACTAAAATGAGGGGGTTAAAACAAGACACACAGAAATCAATGTGCTTGCAAAATTTTGAAAAATTGTTGAAAAATTTTTGAGAACATCACTTCCTTGCTATAAGTAGGTATGTAAACATTTATTTATATTAGTGTAGTATATATATATTAGTTTACAAGTATTAAACATATTCTAATTTTTATTGTTAATTTAAATATCAAATTATTAAAATTATTCACCAGTAATTCAACCAATGTGTATTAAATTAATTGCTTAGTATAAATCATAATAGCTTTGGAATTATATTTATAACAATTGAGAATTTTAAATAATAATTTAATTTTTCTTCACAGGGAAACAAATTAAATTTCTTTGACATAGTTTATACTAAATAAAAAATTTGGAAATGCAAAATTGTTTAGAATCTACTGAACTCATCAGGTAATCACTCAAATATAAATTATCATCACTATCATTAACATTATTCTAATAATTTTATTATACTTATTAAGAATACCCTGTGTTTAGGAAGACAATAATATACTTTTATAAATATAATATAATTAACGCAAGAAACTCAAGATATATTGAAAACTTATGATTTTGAATAGTTTAATTGCATTAAATTTTCAGTAAAGGAAATATTTATGAGACAGTTCCTGAATAAAATTATTGAAAATTGAAAAAAACAAACTATAAATGTACGTGCTAAGTGATATTGTTCTCTTTTAAAAATATTTTATATTCTTTAGAAATAAAAATTACAAAATATTACATCTATTTATAAATGTACTAAAAAATGTAAAAACAAATATAGTAATTTTTATTTTAATTCAGTGCTGGCCTTGTGTAATTAAGTAGAGTCTATGTAACAATATATAAATTATGTTAGTATATATATTACATACAAATAGACTTGATAATACATGAGTGCATCCTAATTAAAAAAAAAAACTAAAAAATATAAGATGCTTTCATTTAATTCTATTGCAGATCACATAATAATTTTGTGATAAAAAAACACAAAAAAAAAAATAAATAATATAAACAACAACATATGGCGCCCATTTTTAATGGACAAATTATTTAATTCCATTTGTATAAGTGTTGGTTGCTTTAGGTTTTTTACCTTTCACCACTACTGGTTTGCCCTGAATAATACCTTTTTTCTTGCGGGCAGACTGAAAAAAAAAAACCTATGTTTAACAAGAATGAATAATAATAGAATTATTTAAAAATTTAAGTTCTACATACATTTTATTGACAATCATTGTCATGAGAGAATATATTTAACATAATAACTAGGGCCCGGATTTCAATGCAAAGCGCATATTTTTTTGGTTGATCATACACAATGCTTTCTAAGAACATAATTCATTTCATGTAACAAGGGTTTTAAAACTACAAATTTTATTTTGCATTTTTTTTTGCATATTTCGACGTTTTTTCATTTTTAGAGCATTTTTAGTATTATTGGGTTATTTTGTATGTTTTTAATGCATATTTGTTTGATATACTAAACAAATTTAGCCTATTCAAAATAAAATCAAACAACAAATTATTTTCTTCATATTTAAGTACGAGTACAAATTGGAATTTTCCTTACACAATGTCAACCTTTATTTCTTGATTCAGTTTTTATCTTATCTTAATTTATTATAGACTATGGAACATCACCAGTATTTAGTCAAATAACAAATAACCAATCAGTTCATATTACATCACAGATGTTGCTCGTATTATGTGTGTTTGTGATTTTAATGTATTAGTGTGTTAAATAATGCCTAAAATAAAAAAAATTTAAGTCATTTTTAAGGTAATTTTTGTGGTAAAATCCGTTTCTAAGGACGTTTTTGGCTATTTTTTAGAGCATATTTGTATGGTTTTAAGTGCATTTAAATCCGGGCCCTAATAATAACTATAAACAAAGCCTAATGAATATTTTTTTTTATTTTAATAAAATTAACAACACAAATTTTTGACCAATATTTGCTATTTAGATAGTATAATTATATATTTATTACAATGTAATTTTCTAAAATTATTCTTCCATAATATAGAACAATAGCTCACATGAGCACTACAAATTAAATATATACAAGTAGGATTGCAGTAAAAATTTTTTTATAAAAAATATTAGTCGATGAAATAATCTAAGAAAAATCTCTTTATCCAAATGATTACTTTCCTCGAGTTACTCTACGGTGTTATTTTTATCATACTTAAGATTTTTTTATTTCCTCGATTACTAAGATGAATATAAATATTAAAAACAAATTTAAGTTAATACATTTACCTTTTTTGATACAGCAGATGCTCCAGGATTCCGGATTTTTCTATCCAATACCGGGATGCGTGGCCTATTAAACTCATCTGGTTTTTTTACCCTGTATATCCTAACCAACCAATGTTCAGTAGTGTATGCTTCTTCCAAATAAGTGAGGTCAAAATTTTGATTACCAATAACTGCATTACGTGTACGGTCAAAACCAGCAGGTGTTCTAAAATCCAACTATAAGTAACAAAATATTTTATATTTTATAATTTACACAAATAAAGAATATCTATACTTTTAAGTCTCCAAATCTATAATAGCTAAGTTTATACATTAAACAATTGAGCATCGTTGGTGACCCTTGACTGTCAATTCTAAATTCACCACGTTCAGTAAAGTAATCAGACTCCTATTTGTAAACAATTTTTATGAAAAAAAACTAATCAATTACAATACAATGAAATAAAATAATAATCAATTTTTTTTTACCCTTATGTCTTTTGGATGTTCACCTTCAGCAATTCGAACCATCCATAAAAATTTATTTATATCATCACCAGAATAACCAATAACACCACCAAATATAACAAGAACATAATCAACATCAAGGGACGTCATTATTTCATAAGCTTTTGGTTCAGTAGATGACATTGCCTTGCCAACTAAAGCTATATGACTATTGTTCCAAGTATTATTATCTACTAAAGTAGTTCGATTGGCCATCCCAGCTATTTGATAGCCATAATCCCACCAAGACATGACTCGAGCATCATTGTCTGTGTTTTGTGAAAGCCAATAATAAGCTTCACGAAAATCATCCAATATTTGACGAGATCTTATGGAAAATTATTTTTTATTACACAAATTATTGCAAAATAAATAAATAAATATAAATATATATATATGACTTACCCATCATTACTAAATGATGCTAATACAATACTAGGACTAGAATATGCATTACTTGTGACCCAAGTACAGTGGACAACAAACATCATAAGAACAAGTAACATAGAAATTGTCACAATACTCCTAATATTCGATCCAACACCTTCTCCATTACTGTTATCACTAACCGATGACGAAACAATGATTGGTGGTTTCTTTTTACTTTTTCCAGAACTTGATGACTTAAATATAATTAATAAATAGTTTAAAATTAAAAATATTATAAAGTCATATTTAAATAATAAAATTAATTTGAGTTTTAAAAATAAACTATAAAACAATAATAAATTCTTCAACAGCTAGTTTAAAATTTAAATATACACCCATTTCCAAGAAAATAGTATCAGCTACCAACCAAAACTAGTCGTTGATGAGTATGCCCCATCCCATTTTTGTAAAGTGCCATATGAGTTGAGCCAACAACATAAACCATTGACCGCTATTGTGATTACATGGAGGGGACTTCCTACAAAATAGAACCCATCTCCCATGGGAACAGGTATAGCAGTAAAAGAAATTACTTAAATTGTATATGATTGGGAATACATTAGTATAATGAAAAATCAAAATAATTTTAATTGTTTTTAATAAATATTTTCTAGTAATCTATCATTTACATATATTATTTTTGAATCACCAACTAAAATAATTACTTATTACATATTTATTTACTTGGGATGATTTAGAAGGAGTCTTTTCTTTAACAGGTTGTTTTTCTTCGACTGATTTTGTAACATTACTGACTACTGGACCATCTTCTTTTAGGTAATTTTCAAAGATTTTTGAAAATGCAATACCACTAAGAATACACACAGCAGGGGTTAATGTTAACATTAACCTAACCATAACACCAGCAAAGTATACAGCACTTAAAGCATATAAAACCACTAAAAAATATTAATTAAAAAATTCAACAATAAAATATTTCTAAATATTAATATTCTGAATATTAAAGTTCATACCAAAGAGTCGCTCATCATTATACTCTTGAATACAATACCACAATCCTGCAGGGAATATACAAACAAGTATATGGAGATCAAAGAAAAAGCTAAACCATGTAGTTGGTTGATGTTCAGATACGGATGCAATGATAGGTATATGAATCTTGGCATATGTAGTATCCCATAAAGAATAGAATCTGAAAGTAATAGACAACAATCCTAATTATTGACATAATAAAAAATAAATATATTAGATCAGAAATAATTTTTGTGGATTTGCAATAATCAAAATCAATATTTTTAATTCAATTGTGTATCAATGAAAATTTAATGAGAATAATACTACCGATGTATTATCAGTTTTTCAAATGTTTTAATTTCAAGAAAAAAACTGTTGAAATTCAAAATGGTTAATAAAATAAAAAATAAAAATATAAAAAAAGATTTCAAACAAATCATTAATAATTTATTTTTAAACAAATTAAAGTTTTAAGTATCAAGAGCTGTTTTATTACACAACATGTATGCAATACATACAATTTATTTATCAGTAGAACTTTGATTATTCTTGTATTAGATATAATATGATAACTAACTGAAATTCATCGTGATAATTAATTATTTGAAATGCTATAAAAGTATTATATTTTTACTTTAGTAAACAATTACCTTCCACTCCATGGTGCAATGACTCCAGCCCAAGTAAGACCAATAACAGCCATAAGCACAATACCAGATGCAACTAATGTTGCAAATATAAAAATAAATTTAAACTCTGCTTTGGTAATACGAGTTTGAATATAATTAAATGCACCAGCCGCCATGACCAATGCAAATACTCCTGATGCTGCCATATGTTCACTAGTTCTAATAGGTTGAAAACCCACAAACGGTATTTGCATGCTCAAAACCAAACCAAGTATATAAAAAACAGTATAACTCGTGAATAGACGATATGAGTAACGGCCCATAATCAATAACAAAAACACATGGAGAGGAATTAAGTTTATAATGAACACATATCCACCCCATGCTGAAACCTAAATAATATTAAAAATTAAGTTTAATAGTTTAATAAAAATAAGAAACAAAAACTTACCATATAGAAATATGAAAGAGCTGTGAGAACAGACCAAAAAACTGAACCAGTTTTGATTGACTTCACCTAAAATTTAAATATTATTTATTATTGTCATTTATTTACAATGATAATATTTATAACAATCGAAAATCAATTTTATGAAATTAAATACCCAAAGGTAATACGTGAATTGGAGGGCAAATATGGCAATTCCTTCATTGTCATAACTTCCAGCTACTGATCGACTTATATATCCAGGTACAATTGCAATAAAACAGCATGCAAACAACCCAGCTCCTGGAGACCATAGTTCTTTAGTTAAAAAATAAGTTGATATTGCTGTCATACCACTGAAAAGTATAACAAAAATTGTAAAAATAAAATCAAAACATTTTTAACTTAAAAAAACTTTAGTTTTTTTAAAATATACCAACTAAGTTTTATAAATTAAAACCATTTACCTCTTTAATACTTAATCATTAATCCACCAACATTTATAATGATTTACTTTTAATTTTTCATCTATTTTAATTGTTACATATGAAGCCAAAATGATAATAAGCTTTTATTATAAACATTTAAATTTAAAATTATATTAAATTTTATTTTCTTACAACAATTATTGAACTATAAATTTTTATTAAAATAGGTATACTATACCTAGTTAATTTTTTTTTTTCAATTTAATATTATGTGTTATTAAAAAGTTCTATTTATATTTCTTATTTTTATAATTATATATTACTACAGTAATTATGTTTGATGGTACTTGAAAATGTATAAGTGTTATTGATTTAATAAAAACAAACGAGTTCAAAAGCTTTTATATAAAAGAATGCTAGATAAAATTTAGTTTTTGGGTTTGTTGGTAATTAATTTGATAACTTTCAATGGGAAGCTTTCAAATGAAATACTATATATAATAAGTTAATGAAGCTTGATAAAAAATCATTGCCTACCTGAATATGGGTGCTAAGAATACACAAATATCTCTAATGTGAACTGGAATGTTGAGTGCATGTAAGACATAATGTATGGCACCAGAAGTGACCATCAGTCCTGGATAAACTGTGCCTCCGACTATCCTTCCCAGTGGATACCATGCTCTTTCGTCGAACCAGTTCAGGAAATTGTAGAAGCCATGTTGTACCATATAAGCTGTGGCACGGTAATTGAACCTGTGAACCGAATGTAGTAACAATTACACTAGCTTATCTACGTTGAGCTCGACACAAAAGATTGGTACTTACCACGGGTCGAATTCGTGTATAATGCTCTCGAACCGTATGACGGCAAATAACCGGGCGGAGAAGCCGGACACCCATGCCAAAAAGAGGATGGCAAATGTGATGAGACTTTTCCATCCGGCCGGGTTGGTCAGCAACGTTTTCATATTGACATCAGGGTCCGCGGGATCGACAAGGCAAACTTACATGAACCTCTACTATCAACTTGCTCTTAACCAACTGAATTTACACAAAGATTATTAGCTACCGGCGTTTGTCCATCGTAGGCATCAATACATTTTCGCACAGTAATCGAACAGTTTCGATAAATCGGCTTAGCTCCGAATCGAATCGCTATCAGAACAGTTCTTACGTTGTGTACCACGAACACGTAATCGTATCGTAATTTGTTCGTGCCACCGTGAGCATAAAAACCAAAAGCACCGTAAACACAAGCCGGCAACGTGACGTCACCATTTGAGGTTACAAAATTATTATACCGGATGAGTTGGCAACCGCTTTATAGTGGGCTTTCACGTTATCACACTTCTTATCTATGGATCGTAAATAAACATAACACAGATAATAAAATCCCAACCACTGTTGTAAACACAATTAAAGATTAGATTAAGAAAAGATTTATCCCATAGAGTAATTACTCTATGATTTATTCTAAGACGAATGGATCTTCGCAGGAAAAACTCCAAAAGAATCCAACATGGCGTCGTTACTCTTATCATTATGGGTAATGGATAATTTTTTGGTTATCGTACTAGTGTATGAAGTTAAATTGTTAATAAATAATAAAATACAAAACGAATGAATATTCATGATTAAAAGTTACACAATTATTCAATAATAATTAATAAAACAAAATACACGTTTTTCAGACTCTTTGTCTATGTCAAAAAATTTGAAATCTTCATGATCGTTTCAAAACATTTGTCTCGCACCAACAACATTACTGCATTAAGGGCTAAATCGAGTCTTCTGCATTGCTTTCCTTCTAAATAGTAATATTTGATATTTTTATGAAGAGCTTCCAAATACATATTTGTGTTGATACCAACATGTTTGCGATTGAAAAATTACCATTTTTCAATTCTTGAAGATATATATATATATATATATATGTATGTTTAATCAATGCTTTAAGATAGTGTCTATACTCTAACACAATTTAATATTTAAGGTGCGATTCCTTAGGGCGCTACCGATGCGGCTGACGCAACGTAGCTCTTTTTTTGGCCGCACATTACTGGTTTTCACGTTTTTAAATAGAATAGTTTCCCTAAACCACCGTAGCCGCACGCGAAGATCGCATCGCCGGCGACGTGCGACTGCGACTACTCCAGAAGCGGTCAAAACGCATCAGCCGCGGGACTGTTGAACACAGCATTTTTTTTTAAATTTTGATTGTTTTGTTTTTACTGAATTCTCTAAATATTTCCTCATCTTCAAACAAATGTTTTTCTATTATAATGCTGTAAAATCGTTCAATTTTTCTAGTAAGAAACAAATTGTGAATTTTCTTTGTGTTGCATATTTTTATTGAATGTTCGATTATTGCTTCTTCTTCGTAAATTTCTTCTAAAAGAAGTAGTTTTATGAGCATTTTTTCTTCCGACTTCTCAACATGATTGTTATAATACAAATACAAATAAATAAATACAAATCATAGTATTATTATAAAAACAAATCTTTATAAACACGACCCACTTGTAAGCAGTTCAAATGCGCTCGAACGAATGACAAAAATCGCCACGAGTCTCTTGCGTTGAATTTTAGTTGTAGGGAATCCGTCATTGAGCCGTGCGGCTCGTGGGGCCAAAAAAAGAGCCGCATTGCGTCTGCCACATCGGTCGCGCGTTTATAGTCGCGCCCTAATGAATCGCACCTTTATACTATTTATAGTTATTCTATTCTGTTTATATTTATTCTAAATAATAGTCGATATCACTATCACTTTAATTTTAGAGCTATGGGTAATAACCGCTCGGGAATCATCTATAATTAGACACAGTGTCAATTAAATCAACCTATGATGTACATTATCTACCATTTTTGCTTATCGTTATACCTACATATTATTTCTTATTTCCCTTGTTCAAATTAATCAAGAAAATAAATTGCATATAATATTGTAATATTATAATAAATATTGTATATTCAATATTGTATTTTAGTAACCAATGCCATTAAGCGTTCACTCGGACTTTTAGCAACTTAAATTAAAGAGGACGCATTATCTTACCTTAAATAAGAAGGGGATCTCCGTCTCCATCCGACCACCACTTTAACCACTGGTTATGAGGGATAGGTATAAAACGATAATAGGTACGTAAATTGTTGGAACATTAATAGACAGAAACATTGAAGAGGAGAAAAGTTAATATTTGTTGTGTTCTAGAAAATAAGTGGAAAGGAGAGAAATCAATAGAAATAGGAGAGGGCTATAAAATAATATATTCAGGTATGATTAATACTAGGAATGGGGTTGATGTAGTATTGGATGAGGAGATGAAAAGTAAGGTAGTCAATGTAGGAAGAAAAAATAATAGAATTATTACAGTAAAAATGGTATTTGAGAAAAAAGTTTAAACGTAATAAGTTCGTATGTTATCATAAAACAATATATTCGATTATCTTGCAGTTTCTCCTACTGTGTATTTACTCAAAATATATAATTGTATAACACAATTAAAAACACAGTTAATGATCTTGTTATGTTTTAATATTTTCTAACGGGTAGTAAATGTAGGAAATAAATGTATGTAACGCAATATTCCAGTTCACGTGAATGATAAAGGTGACATAAAAAATGCATATATTATATATTCAATATATCTCTGGTACTTCAAAAAAATTATAGTATATAAATAAACGCTATCTATACGAAATGCAGAGTAACTTCACTAATCTGTTTCTCCCACATATATATAATAATACCATAGACATATAATATAAATATATAAATAATACATTTAAAATATATTATCGTTATCATTATATAATACTATTATTACCACAGATGTATATATTTATAAGTTATACTATTAATTTTATATTATATGTGATTATTATATATCCGTGGCTTCTGTAAAATGCACATACTGTGTTGTATGATTAGGCAGCCGATATGTCTTTGGTCGTAAACGATAAGATAAACAATAATAATAATCATAATAATTTACTAAAATATTGCTTTGTTTTGTATTCAGTAGTATTTTTCGGTTTTTATTAATCTGTTTATTACATCGCCCGTAGAATATTCATTATACCGCCATATTTAATTTGCTTCCTATTTACTCTAGGAGTTTTTATATTTTATATTTTTATATTTTAATGGATACAACCAATGATAAAAGACATTCCACTGGAAGCGAACAGTCATCTGTTAGGCTTCACATGACTACTCCAAGAACATTTTCAAATCAATGTCACCTATTGAATAAAGGAGCGATTGATTGGTAATCGGCATTGGAAAAAAAATATCATAATTTTTAAAATTTAAAACCTTTTTAGACTGATATATTTACATATTTTTGTTAAAATATTAGTTTGATAAATGATTTATTTAGGGATTATATTCGTCTTTGAATTTTTTGGTTTTTTTCTGTTAAAAATTGTATAAAAAGACATTTAATGGTTCGAAATTGTTGGTATTGCCTTAGTTTAAAGTTAAGTTCTTAAACAATTGTTCAGTACATAAAATTGTAATTGTTAATATAGGTCTGAAAATGGACTTTTAGCCTATGGGTCCAATAATCTAGTTGTAATTGTTGATACAGATAAAGTCATTCCAGTTCAATGTTTTACTGATCATAAAGCTCTAATTAAAAAAGTAAATATCTATACAAAATAAATTCTTTTGTTATACTATTAAATATTATTTATATAAATTTTAGCTTTTGTGGGTTCCATTTGATTCTATTTCTGGAGCAACATCTGAATTAGTATCGGCAGATTGTGCTGGTGATATTGCACTGTGGGATGTCTGTCGCGGTAGATGTATTTCGTGGATTGACTCAGAACAATCAAAACCTGTCAATTGTAAAGAATTTTTTTTACATAATTGTTAATATCACATATTATGTGTTATATTTATTTTAATCTTAGGTCTTGAATGGGTGCCATCATCACTAAATAATGATTTACTGTTAGGTGTTTTACATTCACCCAACACATTTTCAATAATGGATGTACGTAAAGGTACTCGACTATGGAAAAAAACATTTTGTGACACAATTAACAGTTTTGCTTTTGATCCATTTTATTTAAATAGAGTTGCTTGTAAGTTTTTCCATTCACTAAATATTTTAAATTTATTTAACATGATATATTTTCCTAGTCCTGTGTCCAGAATGTATTTTATTTTTTGACAATTTTGATCGGAAAAACTCACTTAGTGGTAATGGACGTAAATTTTACATATCAAATACTGCGGCAGGTGAGAATTCTACTGTATCTGATGAATCTACTCGCCCTAGAACAAGATTTAAAAGACTGATGAAAGGTTTAGTATTAGGGGAAAGTCAAACTAAGTGAGTTGATAATGTTGTATGAAATTAAAAATATTTGAATATGAACTACAATTTTTTGACTAATAAAGGGTGGATGGTTCATTAACGGTTTCCGATTGTATTCAATTTGCATATCATCGTGCACTACGAAATCATATACTTTTAATGTATCAACATGATATATTGATTATTGATCTGTACATTAGTATGACAGTTGGTGTAATCAGTATTGATCGGTCATTTTCTCCATTTTGTCAGGTATTCATATAAAGAAATTTATATATTATTGATTTAATTATTAAAAGGAAATTGTTTAGATGTATTCTTGTCGACAACGTGATATAATATATTGTCTTCAAGAAACTGGAAGTTTATCCTTAAAATTAAGACGTAAACCTATAGCTAATTATTTAATGTCTCCTATGGATGCTTCTCCTGTAACTGTTGCTGGCAATGGTGATAGAACTTTCATTTTACATACCAAGAGTTTTATCATAATTTTTCTTCTATTGCTTTAGATTCTACTACAGACACATATCTGTGGTATGAACATAGAATTCAAAGTGAAATCATCAGACAACCCAAAAATTCTAAAGTTCTTGGTTTGGCTGTTTGTCCGATTACTGAAAAAAATTGTGGTTTGTATTGAATTGGATGAAGTGTTAGTTTTATATTATGGATTGCAATTCATTGTTTATTCATATAACATCAAATTTTAATATAGCAATACTGTTAAGTATGGGTAAAATTATATTTTTTGAACTTGAAAAAGTTATGACTGCATCCAACGATGTTTCATTTTACCTTGGACGACGTGACAACCATAACATTTCATTGAGTAACATTTTTCCTTCATTCAATGATGTAATTAACTTTAATAAATATAAAATTATTATTTTTACTAAAATAATTTTTTTTTTTTAGACCCAAGGGTTGATTCCAAAGGTACGTTTATATTCCCGTGGAATGCTTCCTAGTCTGGAGTCTTCATTAACTGTTATTAAATATTGTCCACCACTGACATCAGCCACAAGATCTAAATATAAACCTCTTTTGGCTGTAGGCACAAATTCTGGGAATCTAGGTATTTTTAATTTAGCTACCGGATTACTGATGAAAGAGTATCACGTACATTCTCATCCTCTTAGGTAAGTTACTAATATTATGTTGTTATTTTCAATTTATGAAATTATTAATAGAATAATTTTTCTAACAAATTTTATCAGAGGTATTGAATGGATTAGTCATCGTTATATAATATCTTGGTCATTTTATTCATATACATCTAATACTAAAAGCCAAGTTATTATAACTGATATTCAGTGTGGGCAGTCTACACCAGTACGCATAAATAAAATAGACGAGCCTCATGTATTATTTGTCAAAGTATCACCATTAAAGTAAATACAAATGTTATTAATAATACATATCTAAATCATATTATATGATCTATTTAACTATTGTTCATTGGAGTTTATATTCTTAGACAGTATTTTGTGATTGGAATTAAAGATGGACCTGTAGAAATTTGGGATTTAAAATCAATGTCATTATTAAGTAAAATGTCCAAAAGGTTTCCACCAGCAGTTTGCATGGTTAATATTTATGATGATTTAATATATTACATTATTTATAGTTTTTTTATTTTTTAAGGAATGGGTTCAATGTAATATGTCTAAAGGTAAAAACAATAACTCAACAACTCCTATAATTGAAGGTATAAAATAATTTTTAGATAAAAAAATAATAATCTAAAATATATCATTGATCTGTTATACTATTATTTTATTAGAAGATGAAACTGGATTAAAATACCCAGAACATTTGTTGATATCTGATATAGCTGGCAATCTTTATGCTTTCTTAATAGATTCAAATAGTTTTTTGAAACCGGGTACCTTGATAGAGCCTGAGGTAAGTTTGAAAATGTTCGGGTTTAGTAATTGTTATATGTTATGAACATTTTTTTTCAGATTTTATTAAAATCTCCTGTTTATCTTACATGTAAGTTAAATATTGCACTTCAAGTAGACTGTGATGGAAATTTATTTGTTTGGGATTTAAGTAACCACTTGGATAAACAAAAACATCACATTAACCGTTCGGAAATTCACAAATTGAAATTTGCTCCTGGAGCTGGTAATTTCCGATTTTTATGTCTATCATCAGATGGCATAGACATTTATAATGTTTTTGGAGTGAGTTTGATTTTAAAATGTACACTAGTCTGAGGAAATTGTTATTGATTTTGAATGCATGCTACAATTTTATTTAATGTTTGTTATAAATAGGGAACGGATTGTAATTTAAATAAATATTTTTATGTAGTTTTAATATCGGAGAGTTATTGACATATGTGTATGTTTCATTTAATTTTTTCAATTTTATTTTAAATAAATACAAATAAATAAATAATAGTTAAAAATTTTAGTAATAAATATACATAATCTATATTATTGTAGAATTTCTGTTTTTATTTTAGTATTTTACGATGGACAAAAATATATGATTAAGTCTATACAATATCTTATCTAGGAAGTAGGTAGAAATTTCAAAAAACTAGCAAAACAATTTAGCACTTATTTCTGCTAATTTTGGATTTTAAGTTGATACTATTTCAAAATTAGAAACTTCTAAAATGGCATTAACCGAGAGCCTAAAAATAGTAGATAATGCCATTAAGCAATTAGAATGCGTTCTTGGAGAAATTGGAGTTTTAACAAAATTTAAATTACAAAAAATATTGGGAAAAACCCTAGGATTTAAGATTGTAAAGTCTATAGAGAAATACTATTAACTAAAATTCCAAAAAATAATTTAGAAATAGAGTTCAGTCAAAAGAATTAACATGTATAAAATATACACCTGTCATTTCCGTTGATGTGGAGAAGTCATTTAGTCATTATAAAGCAATACTAAGATCGAATAGCCGTAATTTAAAATTTGAAAATCTCAAATAATATGTCGTTTCTAATTTTTTCTCTCATGAAGAATATACGAATGATTCAGAATAAAAATTTTTATTTTTTAATTATATATTATTTATAAATTATAGTGAATTATATCTTATTTTCAATTTCAATATTTCAATATTATAAATAAATATTTATTAAGTAATAAACAATTATATATTTAAATATTTTTAATATTTTACTAAATTTAAATCCATTCCCTAGTTATGAATATTTTGTGTACATTATAATATTTAAATAAAATTATATTATATATTTTATATTTTTTTAAAGTCTCCACAATCTATTGAGTTAATTTCTACCATAAAAGCCGATAAAAAATTACCAGTTGTTGATGCTGATTGGGCTAGTGCAGAACATTCTGTCATCATGTTCAGTGATTATTCCATAAGAGTATTCGACCTTAAACTCATCAAATCCTACTCTTCAATATATAATTATGAATTTGATGGTCAGAATATTATTTTTAATAATATAATAAAATAATTTAACTAGCTTAACATAATTTTTACATTTTTTTTTTTTTTAATTTAGATTTACAAGGACCTCCTGTAATTTTAGATCGTGATTTATGTAAGATGTTTTATTTTTGGCTTTCTGCTACATGTAAAAAAGTGTACAGCACTGAGTTTGGTTTTAATAACTATGAGTTATCACGTAAGTACTATAAAACATTCCTTAATAGTTCTTCTTAATTTATTTATTTTACTAATAATTATATTATTTTAAAGTGATTAAAAATGCTTGTCATTCTCTGCCATGGACTGAATTAGAATTATGTACAAAAGTAGCTGAAAGAGCTCTTGTAGTATGTCAATCACTTGGTTTAAAGAATGAAGTTCAATTTTGGACTGTAGCTCTTCATTACATTATGATGGGTGATGACTTTGCCACAAGTGTAGTTCCTCCTTTAGATTCCTGTTACGATGTTGTTTGTGATTGTGCTACATATCGTGTAAGCTTATAAAATGTATTATATTAATATAAGAATACTAGAATTTTGAGACAAATTTTAGAATTTGTATATTTAAAAATATTTTTAATACTTAAAAACTGTTTTTTTCATTACTATACATAATGTGTATGTTTTGTAATTATTAATATCAGTCATAACTATAAGTATTTTTTTTTTAAGAATCTCCTACATAAACTTAATGGATTGGTTATTTTAACACTAATTTTATCTTGTATTCCTTATGTCACTTTTTAACATTTACTATCTTGTTTGAATGTGATTAATGTTTTAGTAGCTTAATATTTTTTATAATAAATTACAATTGGTTTAGAAAATACAAATGGACCAAGTTTTGTTACATGAATGGAAAAGTGGAGACCATATGCACATGAGACGTGTTGTTGATAAATTTATATTGCTTGGTGAGAAAGCAAAAGCATTAGACTTGCTTTTAGCAACTAATGTAAACGATCCAAATTATTATACAGATGCATTAAAGTAAATATGCCGTTTTCTTTTTGATTTTTTGTTCTGTTTTCTCATTAATTTCTTAATAATGTTTTATTAAAAGGGCTTGTTTAATTGCTACTGTGGATTCTAACACTACTAATCAAAGTACTCTTAAATTGGTTGCTGCTAACTTCATAGCAGAAAATAAAATCGATGAAGGTAGATCTTTTGAAATTAATATTTTGGACGTCAAATATAATAATATGACATTATTATGCAGGTATTCAGCTGTTATGTATGATTGGCAAAGGAACACAAGCATGCCGCTACTTGATATCATATAATTTGTGGGAACAAGCTGTATGGTTAGCAAAGTGTACATTATCAAAAGATGATCTTGATACAGTTTTAAAAAGTTGGGCTGATCATTTACTGTCCAATAGAAATCAGGTAATAACATAGTTTTCAGTAAAATAACTAAAGTATTTTTAATACTAAAGCATAATATTCAAAAGTAAAATGTCTATCCAACCAAATTTATATAGGATTATGAATGTGTAACTGAAAGTGTTAAATGCTTTAACGATTTTCCTAGCTGTTACCTGATTAATTTCAGTAATGAGTGACAGATACTTCTCATATATCCTTTTAAACCTTATAGTTAACATAGCTTGTTCATTTATGTTTTATTAGAAAACATTGTTCACTCTATGTCTGTATAAGAGTTAATAAAAGTTAAACATTTTTATTAAAAAAATGAAAATATTATCTGGGTTTTATATTAGTTTTTTTACTTAATTTTAAATTTTAAAATATGAAATTGGAGTAAATATTTATGTTCCCATTCAATTATTTAATATAGATATTACATAAAAATACAATAGTAATAATAAAAATACACACTTATATTTATTGTAATTTTATATATTGTAAAATAATATCACTTATAACTTACAGTTACGTTGTATTTTAATTTGATATTCCGTAAATTTTAAAAACTGAAATTATTAATTTATTATTAAAGTATCTGTGATAATAATTATTTAAGGATGTACATTTATTTAACCACATAAATTAAACTGTAAATATTTGTTTTACATCAAATTAAAATAATGTATTTATTTTATTATATTTTTATTTTTATTTTTTTAAAGTATTTAAAAAATAATTTGTTTTAGGAACTAGCTATTTTGGTATTATTATCAATAAAAAGGTACAATGAAGTATTGAAAATTTTGATCAATAGCGATCGTACTTATCGAGCTGCACTTTTGGTATTGGCTTGTCAACAAAACAATATAAATCTTGATAATATCCTTTTTACTGTAATATATTTTAGATTCATTGTTAATACTCTATTAATTTTGTACATTTTATATTTCAATTCTTTTGATTAGAATTTAAATTTTTAAGAATGAATTATTCTTTAACCCAAGTATTTAGTACGTTCTATCGAAAATGAAGTATGTGAAAAGATTAAACGCGAAATGTATATTAATGGAGGTGATGGTGATATTGTGGTCAAACTTTTTGCTACTACAAATTGTAGAACAAAACAAATGCTGTGATAAGTAATTGTTATTTATTTTACTATTTTATATTAGACTCACATTTTAAAATTATTGCTTTGTACACATTTTGTCTAAGTACAATATCAAAACAAAATAGCAAATACATAATTACCTGACCTTATATCTTACATTTTGTATTACTTATTATTATTTTATTGTATTTGTTAATGTTTTGCTATATATTTATTCATTATATTTACTCATTCGTGATGTATATTTTTAATTTTTAAATATTAACATTTCATGAACTGAAGGAGAAATAAATATTTTATTTACCTTAATATACTTTTTATTTATATAAAACATAAAATATTTATAATTTTCAATTCAAACAAGTGAATGCATAGGGTTTTCTATTAGTTCACTTAAAAAAAAATGTTCTCCCCAGTATTATTAATTATTGCTAGGTAAAATAGTTTCTGGTTTAAAATATAGATAAAAATAAGAATCGAAGAAACAAAAATAGAATTGGATCAATACTTCTTATTATTATTCAAAGTTAAAAAAACTTTTGAATACTAAAAACGGAAGGGTTTCTGGACTCAATTTGATTTAGGTGAGTACAAAAAATGTATTCACTAATATGAACATAAATATTATTAAAATTTTAATAGTTAATCGAGTTTAAAATTTAAAATTCTAACAAATCTTTGCCATTCATTGAAAACATATTGGGTTTTTGAATACTGATGGTAAAAAGTTCAGGTTATTTCACAAAACATTTTACCACTCACTGAAGTATGTTAACGTCTTTACATGGGCATCCCCAGGAGGGATCAAGACAGGGCACTTGCCCCCCCCCCTAGAATTTTATAAATGTTTTTCAAAGCATTATCTGTATGGCGCCAATTCAGTAAACATAGATTACTTTAATATAACATATATATTACATAGGGAAGAAAACTATCTTTAATAATAATTGAATTATTATATCTTATCATATTTCTTATATTTGAGATAAAATAATAATGTATAAATAAAATGTAAGTACAAAATGTATAAAAAAATATACATATTTTTTTTTAATTAATTTAGGCCCCCCTCTAAAAAAATGTCTGGGGACGCCCATGTGTCTATATTGAATTAACCTGGTAAAAACCATACTCATTGGGATTTTCTGGCAGGCCCATAACCAAACCAAATCATCAGGGGGAGTAAACTAAAATTTTGGAAGGGCATTAGAAAAAAACAATATTGGTACTTTTTAATTTATTTAATCTGCTTTAAATTTCATGTCCTAGTGTTAGGTTACAAATGAAATTGAACTCTTCCGATTCGCCCTTTAATATTTTATTTATTGATTGTAGAGTTTTAAATTCTTTATTTTTTTGTAAACCAAGGATAGATATTTAGATATTTTCGTAAAGAACTTTATAATACAAATGTTTTTATAATTTGATAACACAGATATAATATTCCAAAATTTGAACATTACGTGTATAACATTTTTGGATTAAACAAAGGAAGTTTTCCTTGCTTTAAGTTTTGTAAATATTCAGTTAAATTCTAGGTTTCTGAGTAGGTATTGTGTGTATAAAACTGCTGTTATAAGTAAGGATTTTTTATTGAATTATCCGAATTTACTTAAACTCGATTCATTATTAGAAATGGGTAAAATTGATAAAAAATTGATTATAACATAATATACCTACGCATATTAGTGTTGGCCAATGATATCGATAATTCGATACGATATCGGTGTGATTAATCGGGGCTCGAGATTTTACGGACAAATAAATTATTTTCTGTATTTTTTAATTAAATTGAGTAAACAGTATATAATAAAATTATATCTATAAAAATATAAAGTAGATACTAAATAATGATATGAGACAATGTGTTTCAAAAAAAATTAGTTATTTCAAATTTCTTTTCTTTTTATTAATATTTTTAGGGCATATTTTATGGTGTTTTTGGTCATATTATAATGCGTATTTCAATACTTTTCAAATATATGAAATCCAAATCCTGGTGAATATAATTAACAGATAATATAGGAATAATATATAGGGGCGGTTCGTCTGGAAAGATTTTGAGGCTGAATATCCCTTTAAAAAAAAAAAAAAAAAAAAAAACAGATACTTTTAAATAATAACTGTTTAAAAATAGGTTGTATCATTTTAATTATTTATTACTATAAATTGAAGACAACAAAATCTAACACCTATAAATAGTTATTTTGAAAAACTATTTTAGTCATTTCTACGACGATCACAGTTTCAGTGAAACTGATGTCTAACCTGATAGGTTACATCACAACCAGGGCCGTGGAGAGCGAGCAAGAGCCCAAGGGAAAAATTAATCCAGGCGTTTCTCGCACGAGGTATTAAACTTGCCAGTGACATCTTTTAAAATGTGTATACTAAGGGGTGGATAGGTAGTTTTTTTTTTACAGGGAAATATTTTAATGAGGCCACCAAAATTAAAAAAAAAAATTTGCTCGCCTCGCTCGCATAACACATTCAATATAATAATATTTAAAAATAGGACATTACAACAAGATAGTACAGAATCTAATACAAGTAATAATTTATTAATATTTTATTTTAATACAAAAAAAGATTTTTTAACACTTTACTTTTGGTAGTCTCTTTGACAATTATTTCATCCGCATCAATTCCATTTAACAATCAGGGACGGCATTTGGGGAGAGCAGGGTGTGCGCTCGCACACCCTGAATTTTTTTTATCTTCAATTATTGGTCAAGGCGTCATACATGGCCTTGCCACTTTGGCTTTCAGTTTTCCAATCTTTAATGTTATGCATGCATCGCGGCCAGGCCCGGCTCAAATGTTTAAACAAACATAGTCGAAATTTAGTTTTTGCCGCCCCTTACGTGTAAATATTTTATCAAATATTTTTTTTTATACATAACAATTGTCCAGGAAAAATGCCGCCCTAGGCTTGGGCCTATGTCGCTTGCCCCTTGAGCCGGGCCTGACCGCGGCCAAGGGCGTATTTGAGTTGAGGCCATGGTGGGTGAGGGGCGTAACTAATTTTTCTTCAATATAAACTTAAAAATAATTTACAGTTCATTACAGGGGCATACCCAAGAGGGGTTTTCGAGTCCGGACCCTCCCCATTGAAATTTCTACATACTCAATGGTTTAATAGTAAATAGGATATAGGTAGGTAGTGTAATTTAATTTTCCATTATTTTCAATGTACAAAGTTTATAGATTATATAATATACCAACAATGTATAAATCATGTTTAATTTATACTGCTTTTTTAATATTATTTATTATTGTTAGTTAAATAATGTATTTTTTTATAACATTTTACTATCAAATAAAAATTGATTTCAAATTATAGTACCTATGTATTATAGTAACCTTTGTGTAGAATATGTGTGATGTTTGTATAACTATTGTGACTATTACTATAGTTATTAACAGTTATTTGTTAGTATTAAATTAAACTATAATTATAATTAGAGACCAGTTGAAATAAAAATGTTGGACTCCCCCCATAAAAAATTCCTGGGTACACTCCTGGTTCATTATCTACAGCTTACGTTCCTGTTACTCATTCGAGTTAATAAAAAAAATACAAGTACCAAATTTAATTTAATATTTATTTAATAAATACTTTATATTTAAATATATTTAAACAGTGCCGAATTAAACATTTGTGGGCCCCTAAGGAATTAAAATTTTGGGCCCTACAAAATTATTTTTTACGTACATCTTTAACATTACAATCCAATAATTAAAATAAATAGCTTTAATAATAACCAACTATTATTAATAAATAAAATCATGTTTATTACATTTTTTTATTTGCAAGAAAAATGAATGAATCATTATATTATTTATATTATTTTCAAAATAATATTCTTATTATTACTGCATATAACACCTACAACTTAATATTTATTATATTTCATAATGACTTTTGTCCTGTAAATTTGTAAATAAAATACAGGTATTATTAATTAAAATAAAAATATAGTGTTCCGTTTTCACAGGACCCCTTAAATGAGTGAGGACCTAAGGCGGGCGTCTACTCTGCCTAATGGATAATCCGGCGCTGTATTTAAAACCTATTGCATATAAAATAAGTATTAATAATAACAACACAAATAGTTCTTATATTAAAATTGTACCTTCAATCAGAATCCTGTATAAAAAAAAACAACAAATAATCATAGTAGTAATAGTAGTACCTATTAATTATTTTTTAAAAACTTTAAAAAACAATTAAGATAGGTAACTTAATTTAACAAATACCTAAATAGAAAACATAAGGTTGGTAAGTAGTCAAATAAGAAATTCCAAATTTCTTTTTTCATTTTTGCAAATTTTTTTTTTTTTGATTGTTTAATCAATGGATACAATAATTTTTTTGCACGTGCAACAAAGCCATACCTGTTAGTCTATGCTGGCCTATTCTTGATCTTAACCATGTTTTCAATTTACAAAAATATATTTTTGGCCAATATTTGCAATTTAAAGAATATGGAAACAAATATTGTCAGTTATTAGGATTATTATTTGGGTTAGGGACTTCTAGCTTTATAAAATACGCAAATATGCATGCATTTGTTTACAAAAAAATGACTAAATACCTATGCACAACAAAAAGTACCAGATATTATGTTGTAAAAAAAAAAAATAGGCGATTAAAATTATTAAGAACTTATATAGCTCTAATAAATATAAAAATATACAATATGCATAAATACACCAAAAAATGACTAACTAGTAAACATGTGGTAAAAAAAGTGTTATTTAAAATTACTTTATATTATCTGATAAATACCTCGGTTATGGTTGTAAATGTCTATAACCGTAGCAATATCTATGGACGATAATACCACTATTCGTTCCCACAGACTTCTATACTTACTAGTATAGAAGTCTGTGTTCGTTCCACAACCAAAAATGTTATGATGTTATGATATATGAAGATAAACAATAATTGATACCCGTGATCAAATTGACATATTATTGAATTTATTGTCATACTATAATGATAGATTAGTAATTTATATTCTTAATTATTTATACATTAATTTTTTTAAATAAATTAATGTATTATATTTTAAAAAAAATACGATCCATATCTTATTTTTATTATGTGATTTTGTATTACATTATGATTTTTATTATATTTTTATATTCAGTCCCAGACATTTAAAATTATTTTTGAAGCACAAATCATATGCTATAATACCGATTTAATGTGTGTGTTAATGAAATTTAGAAGTACAACAATCAAGCGAGATTAAATGGCTATCAACTACAAAACAAGAAATGGCTATAAATTAAAATCCCGAAAACATAATTGGTGATATAAAGAACTCAACTCCACTCAGAATCGTTATATGATTAATTTTAATTATTTATCAAATTTATTTTGTTTTTCATTTAAGTATATAATTACGTTTTTATTTATTTACCTTATTTAATCGTATTACTCAAACTATTTCAAGTGTTATGTATTTAATTTTTTTTTTCGTAATTTATATTAAACTTTTATTATGAAGACAGTTATAACGATTAAGAAATGGCTATTCAGTCACTTTTCAAGAAAAAAAATTAAAATTTTAAATTAAATAGTTATTAAGAATCAGAATTTCGAACGCTTAAATTAACTTACAGTTTGGGGGGGGGGGGGTAGGCAGTGGCAACCTTTTGCATACCCTGAAAAAGAGGTCTGCGCACACCTGTGCTTTATTTTCTTTATTACCCACAAAATATTGTTTTCCCCGATAACGATAGTCTGTAAATATTTCAGACCATTCTCGCTTACCAACAGAATAAAATAAAAATGATAAATATCAAATATTAAAAAAACAATTTATTTTGACTTCTGGTGCTTAAGCCCACCTCCCCAAGTCCCCCCACCAATATCCGCCTATAATTTGAATCGTATATTTATTATATAATATATGTATATATTATATTGCATATATTATTTTCATCGTGTCACTCAGTAGAGTAAGTACATAATACCATTGATTAAAAATATTAGTGTTTATAATCAATGATAATACATATAATTATGGTTGCCAGATTTTGAAATCCCTAAACCGGGACACCATATCGTATGACTTTTTTTTTTTTTTTTTTTTTTATGTTCATATGGTATAATATACATTATTATTGTATATGACCATACCGATTAGATAACCATATTGTAAAGCCGGGTTTGCACGACGCGAATCTGTGATGCGCGAGTCAATATTCTGCATGTTTATAGAAATAAGCGAGTTAAGCAAGAATGCCTCGTAGCGAGCGGAAGCTTAGTCAGTATTTGAACGCGTGTCAAAGAAACTAGTGAACTACATCTTTGAATGTCTTGCCTCACACGTAGCGCCATGGATCAAAATCAATGTATTAAATTAATTTAGTTGCCTCATCGTTGCCTCGCCCTGAATCACATTGTTTCGTGCATAGATACGTATCATGTAAACATTTAGGTGAATCAAATGCCTCGCGCATCAGATTTGCACCGTGTAAGCCCGGCTTAACAATATAATGTACAATATTGTTTTGTTTTATTATTAAATTATACAATTCTAAATGTTATTTTCTCAGCTTCTATTAACCGGGACAAACAGAATGATCGACCGGGACATGCCTTTAAAACTGGGACTGTCCCGGTCAAACCGGAATGATTGGTAAGCCAACTTATAATAATTACAAAACTATTGTAAATGATTATCTTCAGTATTTTTTAATTATAATAATAGTATAAAATCTCGAAACTGACCAAAAAAAGATTCCGATCGAACACATTGAACTTTACTGAGAAAACCCATGTTTATGGAAAGTTAAATCATCAGAATATAACGATAAAAATTTAAAAAGCACTGCATATGAAATGCCGTTGAAATTAAACACAACCTATCACAAATCGCCGGACATCATGAAGTCAAAAGTTACGAGTAGTGTGTAGCGAATCACGAACTCTGACTTACCTAAACACACTTACCTTAAGGCTTAATTTAAGTTTGAACTGAAGACTGAACGTGTGAAAGGCACTATAGTCGCTATTTAAACTGGGTTCACGACAATAGTTTCCGTGCCACCGTGCCGTCATCGTCTAATTACGATTTCGAAGATAAGTAAAAAAAAATCGCAGAATTGAATTAGTTTTAAAAAAAATGTTTGTATTAAATTTAGTTAAAAATATTAACTAAATATTAAATTAGGTATTAAGTATAATTAATTTTCCAATAAAAGGATTTTTCTTGTTCGTTGTTTTATGTAGTTTAAGTTAAGTAATTTAAGTCACTACTGATCACGTTAAGTCAATATACTATAGTCATTGATACCTACTACTCATACAATACCTACAAACCAGGGGCTGAACTAGGGTGAAAGACCGGGATTCATCTCCAGGCGTACAATTTTAGAGGATGTAATTTTTGTAATTATAAACAAACTTTGTTGAATACTGATATTAGGTTAAAACTCAATAAGTATGATTGTATATTAATTACTAGAAAACAATTCTCGAGAAGAGTATTTGATTATTGGTCTATGATAGGGCGTAATTTTAACATTTTCCCTGGGCGTAAAAATTCCTACATAGTTCCAGCTCTACTATAAACAAGGCCGGACTGAGTAGGCGGGAATCGAGAGTTTTCCGGTGCGTCACTTGTTTAAATGGGGTTGCTTGTACTTGTAGGAAAGTTTTTTTTTAGGTTTATTGTATACATAGATACATTTTGTAATGCGATTGCAATAGAAATTGTCTAAAATTTAATAATTAATAAAGTTTAAAAATAATATTAAGTGTTCAAATTCTCAAAATAATATACAATCATTTCATATGAAAATATACATTTTTTAGGGTTGTTTTTATACCTTTAGTATATCTAAGTGAGCCATTTTTTTATTTTACCAGTAGCAATTTCTACCCAGTCCATCTCTGCCTGCAAAATCATAATTTGAGTTCCTCAATTATCATTATTAATTGATTAATAATATTCTATCCTACAGTAATATTTATACATGCAGATATTTTTTCCCCTGATATTTTTTTCGCATTACGCCACTGTAATTTTGTATTTAATGATACATGTTGCAATATTTTATAGGTACTTAAATATTTCAGTATAAAAGAAAAATTAATGCTTACTTATCTAAAATAAAAAACCTAGTTTTTCTTATTATCATTCATTTTCATGATATCCCTTAAATTTATTATTTTTTGTATGCCCTAGGGCACTTGCCCCATTTGCCCCCCTCCCCTTGGGGATGGGTCTGGTCGCCTTTTATCTCTTTCGTAATTTTATCCATTACCACAGAGAACTAATAAGGGCTTAAGTCAACCCCTGATACTCACCATTTCCCACGTTAAAATCTTCTTTTACTCTACACAAACTTACCATAACGATTAGATGTCTTAATAAAACGAGTATTTTAATAAAGTTATATAAGAATATTTGAGATGAATATAATGGCTTTTGATATAATTAATATTATAGTACTCAATTTTTTAACATGTAAAAAATACATTTTATTTTTCAAGAAAATAATTGATTTCAATTAAATTATATTTAATTATACTTATAAATAATACTTGACATTATTTTAAAATCATATTTAATTTTATTTTAAATTATTTAAATGTTCTTTTTTTACAATATAATTTGCTGGAAACAGTTACTCTTAATTAAAATCTAATTTCTTTTACAATTGTTTAGATTCTTATGTCACACAAGTTGATTTTACAATTTACAATATTACGTTAAATTCATAGGCGTAGCGAGACTTTGTGTTCAGTGTATATGCAAGTAAGCTATAGCTATTTTGCTACATGTAAAAAGTGAACTTACAAAGAAAAGTAGAATATAAATTGTTGTTTAAATAGGTGTTCAGGGTATGCAGTTGCATACTCTGAGGCCCTACACCCATGGTTACGTGAAGATAATTTATATGTAGAATAAAAATAAATGCCTAATATAGAAATTGGGTATTCAACTATCAAGAAGGTGAGATTATTTCAAAATAAATCGAATGATGGTCAGATTTCCCTTTAAAGCTGTATATCATGTGATCAAGATGTTGGCTAGACTGGATACACCAACCAGGAAAATGGCGACGTCGGGCCTGACGTCATTTGCGTCGTTTTGCTTCTATTGTACGTATCTCGTCCAGTGAAAAAAATATTTTTATATATTTTTATTTCCTTGGAGATGTAACGTTTGTTGTTAGTATCCTAAATTTGTTCGTTTTTTTTGCATGATCTATTGTGTGCGTATTGTTCAGTTTTAAATAATAAATGTGTATATAATTTCACGTTTTGGCATTTTCATTAACATAGTGTTTGCGTATTTGCCGCTCTAAGAACAACTACTCTCATCAAAATGAGTATGCCGGAATTGGGAAGCAAGATCAGCCTAATATCAAAGGCAGATATTAGGTACGAGGGTAAACTGTTTACAGTCGACCCTCAAGAATGTACCATTGCCTTGTCTCACGGTAATACATTTTAAGTTTTTTTTTACTTATATCGGTAGAACAAATTTTTTCCTTTCGATTTATAAATTGTTTTCGCAATATATTCCTAATACAATTTTCAATTATTTTCGAATTATGCTTAACGTTTACTATACTGAACGTTGAGAAGTAATGTGTTGTAAATGGTTTATGTATTCAAAGGAATTACCAAGGTGGTGAAATAATTTCTTTGCATAATTGTGTAATATAATTTGGTCTTTTGAACAGACGGTAGTCCTAAATTTAGATATTCTTATCTTTCAATATGTATTTTCCCGATTTTATCTTGATATTTTCTACCATAATTTAGTCTTGCTAATATTCTTTTGAAGTATCTCGATATTTTAACATTGATGTTCTTGATTTCCTAATCATCACAAAACCTATCTATTTCAGATCTTTAAATTTTTCCCATAAGTAATGTTATTTTCTATCTATTTTTAAAAATGTTAATCAAATATATTATGTGTAAATTGCTTTACTCGTTTTTAATAATTAGGGCTCGGGACTTCTAGAAACTTGCATGTTTTTAAATAATTATCAAAAACATAGCTAAGTAATATTTAAATTTGTTTCATAGCAATACAAGTTTATATTTAAAATTTAAAGTTGTATATTTTGCATATTTGACCATTTTTCATTTATAAGTGCATATTTGACCATTTTTCATTTTATAAATGCATATTTGACAATTATTCATATGAAGGAGTAAGTTTTTAAATTTTATAAAAAAAAATATGATTTATTTCTTCATATATCACGTGACTTGGAACTCGAGGTGTCTTATTGACGCACTAATAATGCATCAAAATAATTAAAACTACAAAAAACGTATACATTCTGCAAAAATTGAAGAATCTGCTCAAGCTAAGGCTAACTACAAAAAATATCGAACATCTTAAATGGAAAAATGAATCTATGGATAGATTGCCTGCAGATATTAATAGTAGTGACCTATGATTTTTTAAATTTACACCAATAAGTTCCGTAGATGTATCTTTTCGTCTTACGTTTCTTTTCTAAATATAAAATTATTTTGGCTGATAACAGGCAGTCATTTAAATTTTCTAACTTAAGAAAATATCTTATAGTCCAATGTAATGCTCAAGGTTAGAAGAATTATAACTATATTAAAAATAAAAAAAATGTTTTCACTTTAATTTATTTTTAAAACCATTTTAAGTATTTTGTTTTATATAAAAACTCAATATAAGGTGAAAAAAAAATTTGGTAAAAAGAAAAAATTATCTCAGATCATCATATCTATCATATATAAAAATATTATTATAATTTATTACTAGTTAAATTTTTTTATTTTATTAATTATTACAAATATAATTTTTTTAAATACATATTTTAAGGTTTTTAAAGGCATGAAGTCCCTAGCCCTACTAATAATGTAATTAATATGACATAAGATAACTTAATTGTATTTATAAAATCTGACATTCATAATATATACATCAAACAAAGTTTTAAAGTATTTTAAAATATTAATTTTTATTAAATTAAATTTATAGACGTGAAGTGGTAAAAAAAATGTGTAAGGTGCTTCATCATTGTAATTAAAATTTAGGGCAGACTTAAAAATAAAGTAACCATGATAGTAAAAAAAAAAAAAAAAAATAGAAGTAATTGATAATTAGTAGTTGTACTAAGTTTTATAAATTTATTTGCTATGATGCATATATAATTTGATTGCTTACGAATAATATAAATACAATGATTACTCTTATAAGTATTATATTTTATCAACCAAGGATCAATTTATATTCAATTAATTTGCTTATAATCAATTATAAAGGAGTCTTATATCTTTCTTTTAAGCAAGGGATGTAGTAGCATTCTGGCCAGTTTGTAATAGATAATATATTATGTAGGTTTTTTTATATTTCAGTTAATATTAAAACTATGAATCAACTGCCTAAATAAATTTTTCTTATTTAACAGGACGATATATCATTTATGTACCTATAGTTATCCTTTAGAATTACATTTTATTAATTTATGATATTTTTGCTGTATCATAATCAGACAACTTTTAAGGCGCATGTTACAAAAACTATTTAAAAATTACTGAAGTCTGATAATTTATATTTACTTATTATTTTTACCTTTTTTATATCAAGAATTAGTGTTCAGTAGAAAAGGATGGATCCTTTTCTTTAAGGGTACTAAATTACATTTTTAATTTCATTAAAGTGAAAATTTTATTTTGTATATTTAATAATATTAAATTATTAAAAAATTACAAAATTCATCATTTAAAAGAGCTTTAATATAAATAGTCTTTATCAGTAACTTAAGGTTATTTTGTATTTTTAATATTTTTAATTTGATTAAAGTACACAGGTAAATGAATAAAATAATCAGTTATAACTATCACTTTTTATTTATTTAGCGTCTTATGTAGTAATTATTATATTATAATTATATTTTCTTTTAATATATTTTTTACTTTTACATTGTTAACAATATTTTTTTTTACAGTGCAATCTTTTGGAACAGAAGACCGTCCAACAGAATTCAAGGTTCCAGCTCAAAGTCAAATATATAATTATATACTCTTCCGTGGCTCTGATATAAAAGATATTAAAGTGATAACTCCACAAATACCTCTAAATGATCCTGCTATTGTACAAGTAACTAGTTAAGCATCAGTGTCTGTTATACCATAATTTTATTACAATTTTTATAATTCTAGTTGTCGGTCCCTCCAAATACTATGGGTGGTTTTAATCCTAGTTATCAACCAATAGATGAATTAGGATCAGTCAATCAGGTTGGAAACTCTTATAATCCTATGTCTGGTGTGAACTTAAATGCTGGACCATCTCATAAGCAAGCAAGTGAGTCTCCTCTGATTTTAGATCCACAACCAGTAATTCAGCAGAAACAACCGATGACTACCCAATCTGGTATGTACACGCATACACAAACCCAAATGCTTGGGCATCTTTGGCATGCTTGTACATATTGCAGGATACTATTGTAAAATATTACAATGGCTTAATGCATGTCAATCGATCTTTTGAATGCTTTCAGTGCTTGTTTTGAAAACATGAATATCATATCTATATTGCCTGATGTCGAAATTCATATTTGCTTTATCTTTTACTTATTGATTTAATAATACTTTATTATATATAATTATATTATGCTTGGGATTTATTTTAATAAGTCATTTATGACATTATTTATTTATATTTTACAGACTCTTAAAAATTTCTAAAAATTCTTAAAAGTTCTAAAAATTTTTGGTAATTAAATTGCAAAATGTGTTTTAAGAAAATAAATTTAATAATAATTATATTTTAATATGACATGAATATGCTATGGGGAAAGTGGGGTAGTCAGAATCTGTGTTCAATGCCAAGTTTAATATTACTAAATGTGTAAATGGTAATATAACTGTCAAATAAAAAATCTATATATCATAGTATAAATATTATATTAATTATTATCATTCATATACATACAAATAAATAATAAAAGTAAATTATTTTCATTAAATGGAATTTGTAATTTTTATTAGTTGTTGTGTTTGGTGATTTTTTCTTACATATTTATGTAGCACTTAAGAGTTCACAAATTATCTGCTAATTAGCATTTCTTGTTACACACTTTAATGTACATCCACATATGTCATAATACGCCTCTTTAGATAAATGTAAAAGGTTACAACTGTACATTAGAATGAGCTTTTCTTCTTTGGTTTTGGGGAAAAAAGTTATCAGAAATTGGCAAAAAAAAATTTTATGTGTGAGAAAATCAAATTTTGACAAAATCAGATGTTTCAATGAATTTACAATAAACTATTGAAAATCTAATTGTTATTCCATAAATTATAATCATGGCAGCTCTATACATTTAATGTATGCTAGCCATTATAATAAAAAAATTTTATAGATATTATATAGTTAGAAATATATATTAATGAAATGTATGAAGTTATATGCAGAATGCACATTATTCATAACTACACCTGACATTTATAATTGTTAAGAAGTTGTAATAGAACAATTGGTTTTAATACACAACTATAAGTAACTTTACTTTAGTTAAAATGGAACTGGATTGCATACAATGCTTGGGAACAGTACTAGTCTGCGGGTACCTGTGAAATATATTTATATATACATATATGTGTGTACATATACATGCATATTTAAAATTTGAAAACTATTTTTAATTTTATAACAATTAAATTCATATAATTTTCTATTAAATAATTTTATTAAATTATTAAAATGCATGATCATTTATAACATTTATTAACAACAAAAATCTGAACCACCATTGCCTTTTTAAAATTTTATTATTATTGATTATTATTTTATCCATAAAAATCTTATTACTAAAATACTCTGCATTGAATTATGTTAAACTGATATCAATATTATTGAAAATTCTATACATACAAATGCTTAACTATTGTAGATTTTGACTAGGACAAGAAATGTGTTTGTTTTGCTTTTTTTTTCTGTGTCCACACAATTTTAATTAACTTCTTGCTCTAATTCAGAGAATGAATAGTTTTTAATAGAACATTTTATCTAGTTGATACTTTTAAAGCTCTTTTTAATCTTTATATTTTTTCAATTAATAACATTTATGAGATTAATTATTTAATATAATTAATTTTTTTTATTTGTCACAATAAATATTTATCACAACTTCATTTTCATTGCAACCCTAAAAATATGATTTTAGAGATTTAAAATGTTCACTATATTATTGTTCTCTTAAGATTGTATGCCTTTTATAATTATTTGTTATTTTTTTTATTAATCATTGACAAATAAAAAAATAAATATAAAAAAAATGTATATTCAATTAAATTAGATATAATATTAATAACAAATCTATCTGCATTTAGTTTTAAAATAAGTTGCATACTTTTGTATAAACTGTCATGGCTAATACAATACACATACTTGACATTTATTGCTGTTAAATTTATTTTTTAAATTTTCTTTAAATCCTTTTAAGTCTTAAATATTTTTATTATTTAACTAAAAAAAGTTATGTTAGTAAGTAATTTTATCTTATGTAAATTTGTGCTGTTAATTATTGAGTTAAATTGAATGCAATTTTTGCTTAACTAAATAAAACATATCTTGACTTTTTTTTATATTTTTAAAGTTACTTATTTTTTGTTTATAGATGTTTTGGATTTAATATCTGGTGGTTCTCGTTCATCTACACCTGCTCAGCCAAATACTTTTAATGGTCAAAGAAACAGTCCCTCATTTGATCAAAACATTCAAACTGGAAATCAACCAAGTCCTGGAAATGGAAGAGGAGGAAGAAATCAACGTAATAGATCTACATCTTCGTCTGATACCCGTAAACAAGTTAGGCAACAGGGGTAAGCATTATTATTACAATTTAAGTTCCATGATTTGTTAGTTATTTTTTATTTATTTATTTTTTTTTTTTTTCCTGAAAGACAAAACTATCAAAGAAATGATCAACCGCAGCATTATCAAAGAAATGACCAGCAGTATCAAAGGAATGATTTTCAACATCAAGAGAATCAACATTTTGTTAGTATTATTTTATATATTAAATTGCAACTTTGGTAATATTATTCTCTTTATCAGGTCAATCGTCAAGGTGGAAATCGCAATATGAATGGTCGCAATTGGAATAATCAACAAAATCAACAGCAACAATCCCAACAACAACAAGTTAGAAGACAAAATACAGCATCGAATGCTACAGGTGGTCGTTCATTTTATAATAACAGGTCTACTGGTCTCCCAGCTCCTAGCAAAGCACAGGGACCCAGAACAAATTCATTGAAATTTGATGAAGATTATGATTTTGATAAGGCAAATAGTGAATTCCAGGAGATTATTAAGAAACTATCTAGAACTAAGATAGGTTAGTATTATAAATTTATGTTTAATTACATACAGCTTATTTACAAAAATGAATTTGTTATTTCTCTTCTATTTGACATAAGATAATTTTTGAATTATTTCTGTTACTATTGAGAAGTTTGAAAATCCATTGATTAAATTTACTGTTTTCCTTAGATTTTTTTATTAATTATCTTGATTTACACTGATTTTACATGTTGGTAGTACATCTATAATTAAATCTTATTTATATCTAACTAGTCTGTTTATATTTTTTAATTATTTATAATTTATTTAAAGTTGACTAAATAAATAATGAGTGTATATTAAGCTTTTCACTAACCAATTTAAAAAATATGTTCGAACGCTGACAATTTTATAAATACTACAATACTTTTTTTAGATGATGGTTTTGATGATTCAACTAATGAAGTAACTTTAGTTAATGGAGGTGGTTTAGCAGTTAATGGCGATTCAACACTTCATGCCAATGATGGAGAATTAGTTGCCATAAAAAAAAATCATCGTATTGACAGTGGAAATGATACGAATGCTGTAGAAAATGATAACGAAGGAGACGATGATCAAAAAGTATTTTATGATAAATCGAAATCATTCTTTGACACCATTAGTTGCGAAGCAGTTGAGAGAAGCAAAGGGTAAATATATGCAACTAAAACTAAAAATGTATTTTATAATTCAATATTCTATTTTATAAAGACATTCTCAAAGAACTGATTGGCGTACAGAGCGTAAATTAAATTCTGAGACATTTGGTGTAGCAATGGCAAGACGTGGTCAATACCATCGTGGCCGTGGAGGCTATTATAACAATAATAACAGTAATTACCGTTCTAACCCTAATTCCTATAATAATAGCAACTATAATAACAATCGTCAAGGAGTAAATTATAACAACTACCGTCAACAACAACAAAATAATGGATTTATACGTAATAACCCTGGTAATCGTGGCTATAACTATCGAACAAGATCAACCAACAAACAGGATCAACGCCAACCAAATGCAGTATCTCCTCAACGAGTAGCAGGTTTGTATTATTTTAAACTATAAATGGCATTTGTTTCTCCTATTATATTGTGTTAATTTTTTCCTGTATATTATTAATATTCTAATAAATACATATTTTTTTGCAGTAGCTTGAAGATCACCACTGTCCGTATTTCAATGTTGCTGTAAATTAAACCTATAAAAAAATAAAATAAAATAAAATAAAAAAAAAACATTTTCCCATGGAAAATTTACTCTGTATATAGTTTACATTTCTTCTCTTTAAAATCCTGAGATTTTAATTGTTGCTGTGCATAAATTTGTGATGAAATCAATTGGTGATATTTGGTATGTTTTGTTAAATGATATCCAGTTGAGCGGAAGTTTTTGGCCGCATGCACATTTAAATTCCAGGCTTAAGTCATCATATTCCTAAGTATAATTAATTTTTATTTTTTGAAAGATCGTAATATGATAATTATTAATTTAAAATTAACTTTCCCAGACTGTTCTTATCTTTAGTTTTAGTTTTGTTTAGACAAATTTTTTTTTTTTTTTAATTAATTCTTTTTGACGGCTGTTTTTATAAAATTTAATAATTTATAGTTTGTTCTTCATTTGATAATTTCTATATTAGGTTTTTTTTTTATCATTAAGGTGATCGGTTTCATCTATAAATATCAAAAACCAGATTATAGGTTAATAGAACCAACATTTGTAAGAAATATATGTTTATCTAACTAGACATAAAAATTTGTTAAAACATTATTAGCCTATGTAAGAAAAAATACAAAGATACTAAAATTAAATTGAACATATGTGATTTTTGTTTGTTTAAATTAATTAAATAACCTAAAACAATATATATATATATATATATATTAGAATACATGATTTAAAAAAAATATATGTACATTTTTTTTTTACCATTATTTGTGTTTTTTTTTTTTATGTACATTTAATCACTCCCATGTGGATAAATGTAATTACATTTGCTGAATAAAAGTTGGCAATATTATCATTGATGAAATGTATATAATTTACTTTGATAGTTTTTAATGAATAGAGTTACTTAATATTTACAACAAATATGATCAGAGGTTCTAAGTGCTATTCTGCGTGAGCTAGTTTTAATGTTACGTATATCTATATATAATTTGAGTATTCATGTTCATTAAGAATCCCCAAGGGATTCCTTGCTATCATCTGATACAATTAGGTAATACATGGAAGACATTTAGTGCAAGCCATAGAGTAATATATTACTCTATGGTGCAAGCTATAGTACTTTTTGTCGTACATAATCTTAGGTAATTTATAGATATAAATAATATAATATAATAAGATTACATTATAATACATTATTTATTATGAAGTTTTCCATGATAAAGACTATTTCAAATGAAGTTTGCTATGTCATTGGTTAATTGTTGAAAACTATTAACCAATAATGTAGCAAACTTCACTAAAAATAAATAGTCTTTATCATGGATCACTTAATTATAATGTAATCTTATTATATGGAATACATAAATTACCTTACAATGAATATTTTTACTATTACATATTATGTTTACCAAGGTTCATATTGTGATGAATGCATATTTCTAATTTGATAAAAAAAAAAGTTGTTATTAACTACCCATTTCAAATTGTGCATGATTCAATTGCCTCGCTACCATCAAAGACTACAATCAAGGGGAGCCTAGGGGCCACAGCCCTTTTCCCAAGCCCGTACCATATTTATATCAACAAAAAAGAAATATTATAATATGAACTCTTACACGACCTGTACAAGTATGTTAGAGGTTGTATACAATGTACCTGCTATCTATATTATGAAGAACCAATAAGGCTATAAATAAACTATATTAATATAAAATATACTATATTATTTTTATAATGTTCAAAACATGAATTGCGTAGCACACATTTTTGTACAGACTAAATTATTGTTTTCTTGATAAGAGATTTTGTAAAATTATAACTTCCCCCCTTAACCTAAGCTCTAGAGCCGCCCCTGACTACAATCACCATTAATCTAACAAAAGATTTATGACAATTTACAATAACTCAATCAATGTCTAGATAAATAGTATTCAAGTATTACATTAGCAAATTCGGAGGGGTTTGAGAAATCTTACATGGGAGAGGAGAGTGGTTACATCTTAAATCTGATATCCGCATCATATTTATGCAAATTCATTTTAAAGCTAGTTGTAAAAGTCGATGGATTACCGCCGTTGTATCTATTCTTATTATTTTTTTTTTTTATAATTTAAATAAATTTTTTTAACAAAAATAAAATAATTTAGGTAGGTCTATGAAAAATATTTACGTAAGATGGGATTAATCACTGTGTGATGCACGCCGACATGGAGATGGGATCAAAAATATGCTGATGTAATAGTTAAATGACCTCATGAGTAGGGATCAGCATAATTATATTATTGCTAAGTGTGTAGTGTCAAATATCACGCAACAAAACTTTAATTTGTAGCATGGTGGACTATAATACATAATTCTTTGTTGCTAGTACATAGGGTAGTGACAAAACTAAATTGTACTTCTATTAAAACTAGACTACTAGTCAGTCATCCATAAAGATATACTACAAGGTGTTGCAAGCTACGGTATCTAACTTAATATGCAAATTATGCCTGATAAATTACTTAGTTAAATCCTATCTTCCTTCAATGCTTACTTAAATAAAACCCCCTTTTTTTATAGTGTTTAGTATTCAGGGGCAAATCTGAGGGGAAAGTTTAGGTTAACTAACTCACAGTTAATATTTGTTGACAAAATTAACCTCTTGAAAACTTATATTTTTTAAGTGTGCCATCTATAGACTGAAATGATATATGCATATTACTGCATATAAGTATTGAATAAAATGAATATTTTTGCATATTTCAATTATAAGAATGCGAAAAATGAATGTTTTATAGTATATTTCGTGATTAATATTAATATTTCGTATTTAATTCTAAACTAGCTGATTGAAGTATAAAACTTGGTTTTTTTTGTCAAACATAAATTTTATTTTAAATTACTTTTATTTTATTTTATTTTATTTCTGAATTATTATACATTAAGACAAACAGCCAACCACTGTTGTATTTCAATAAATAAATACTTTTTTTTGTACCTAATTATATTTTTGTGTTTATCTTATAAAAATTTAAATGCATATTTTTTCATATTTTGGTTAGTAAAATGCATATTTTACAATTTTTTATTGCATACAAATTATAGCCCTGGTGATCACCCATTTTCTGCGTGGTCAATGTATTCGTGTTCTATAATTTGAACTACGAATAGTTGTGAAGTTTTCCACTCCAAGTTTAATACTATATTTTACTCAACATACATGAATATACTCCGATTCATAGTTGTTTTAAAAAATGTATAAAAAGAAACTTATATTAAACAACGAAATATTCATATAACTAAAAATAGACGGATGATGGTATGTGAAAAAGAAGATTATTTAAGACAAAATATGACAATCTATAATAGTGATCAATTATATTAATCAGATTATATTATAATTAATCCGCCTTCATTATAATTAAGTTTTTACCAGTTTTTTAATTTATATTTACATTTTTTTTTATTATGGTTTATTTTAATAATTAATAATTTTAATAATAATTATTATTATATTACATTTCTATAATTTAAACCAACATATTTTCATTTTACTTATTTCTAATTGATTAACAACAATAATAATGTTTTAATGAAAATAATGTTTTTTCCTTTGGACGCAATTCGCGTAGTCATTAAACGTTGTCGGGACCCTATTTGTATAGTCGTTAAATATGGTCGAGACGCAATTCATGCGCAGCGAATATTTGATAATACTTTATGTATTTGGTATGGTCTCTTGAATTTTGGAATTCATTTTTTACATGTATTTGGTGTAGTATCGATGTTTCTAATCATAACATACATACATAGTCGCCCGTATAATAAATAATCGTTTTTCGATGAGTATTGTCACAGTAAGTTTTATTTTTGAGTTGATTTTGTCGATTACTATCTAATGAGTTTTGTCTCATAGTTTCGAATTCTCTGTTACCATTATTTTCGTTCAGCGTTTCTAAATAGAGTTTGACATAATCATTGATTTCTCCTATTTGATTAATAACGAATACAATAGAACCCGTTTAAGACGCTCTCCAAGGAACTAGTTACAAATAGCGTCTTAAGCGGGAAATCGTATTACCAGGGAACAAAAAATTTTTATTATATTTTACAATACATCCATGTTATTTATATACATATAAATTATATTTTTTACTTTGTAGAGTGAATTATTACATTTATATTACCCATTTCAAAAAATCGTCTATCTTTCATTGTTTCAAAGTTTTGATGTATTTTGAATACAGAAAGTTTTCAATTAATAATTAAACTTAATCATAAAACGATTCTGTGTACAGTTGAGTTTTTAATATCACCAATAATGTTTTCGGGATTTTAATTTATAGCCATTTCTTGTTCTGTAGTTGATAGTTATTTAATCTCGCTTCAATTATTGTACTTCTTAATTTCATGATCACATTAAATCGTTATTACAGCATTTGATTTGTGTTTCAAAAATAAATTAAACTGTCTGGAGCTGAATATAAAAATATAATAAAAATCATAATGTAAAACAAAATCATATAGTATACATAAGACCAAATATGTCATAATTTTTATTTATCTTATGTAATTTTGGAAAAAAAGCTTTATGTTTAGGATTTGCAGTTGCATATATTTTTACATGAACATCATTGACAAGACGAGCGTATTATCCGGGAACATAAGGCATATTATTCAGTGTTAATTACATGTTAAATGTTGTCAAAATCAAGAGACTCGTAAAAATGAGCGTATTAGCCGGGAAATCGTCTTAAGCAAGAGAGTCTTAAACGGATTCTATTGTATTTTTATCGGTATGGACTTAGCGATTACCCAACGCAAATAATATAATGAAGGTAAATGTCAATTGGATGGGAAGAAATATTCGGGCGATAATGGATGGTTTATCAAGTTTATCAATGATGATCCCATTCTTGTAAAAAAAACTGAGGAAAATAGCTGTTTCAACTACAGCTACACCAAACCATAAAAATGTAAATATTTCTAATTTTAAGAAAAGTAACAATTTATAAGGTTATTACCAAAATATAAGAAATCTTAATAATAAACTGAAATTTTTAACCTGTAATGTTCCACATAATAACTATGATTTTATAATTTTTACTGTA